GGAGTTAGTTTGCAGTTTACTTTGTTGAGGGGGTGGTCTGGCCAGACTTGAGCACCGTGTTAGTAAGAGCCTTGAGGTCTAGAGTTCATTGATTGGGGTTTGGCTGAGTTGAGACTTGTTAGGGTTATAAATTCAGAGCTGTGGACTGAATGAGCTTCTTGGGGTTCAGGGTTTAGAGCCGTTTGGGTCGCTTCAAGGTTTCGGTGAAGGTCCCTGAGTGAGTTCTTGACATAGAAGCAGTCGGGGGTAAAGTGGTGTGCTTAATTGGGAAGCATAAGTATAGGGTGCAAGTGTGCAGTTTCCCGGTCTCAGAGTCAGACACCGGCGGGCACAATGCCTACGGAACCCCGGGAGCGACAGCAACGCGCGGATAGTGGAAGGTGTGCAAACTTGGAGAACTTCTTGGTGGCGCTCAATTACCCAGGGCCAGACGCATCCTGGAAAGCCATGGCACGCCCTAAACGTAGCAACTTAGTTAGCAGCAGAGTAGGCAGCCTTTAACTTTCTTGCAGCACTACAACCTCTACATTGTCTACATATCCCCAAGACTGGACAAGTAAGTATATGAGAGGGAGTGACAGAGAGCCCAACTCCCAGTCTCTAGCATTAAGTGACTCTGCACGACTGCTTCAAGTTTCCATGGGCCTGTGAAGTATGCGTCGTGTGTGTCTGTGTTGGGGATTGTAGATGTGGAAATGAGCAGTTTGTCTATCTACTGTAGTCGCTCTTTGTCCGGAATCCTTGTGAATTATGTTGATCGTATTTGGATTTCTGGTCGGCCTGACAAGCGACTACAGACTGTGTGCGATTTCAGTAGGTATCCTACCAACCTCAGAGACTTTGCACCTTGCCTCCTCTCGACGACGAAATGAGCCTTTGACAGCAAAATAAATCCGAAATCCTCAACTCTGAAACTGTAAGGGGCCATTTGCCCAACTAGTATATACTTTGGCTGAAAGTAGTCCCTATATTCAAATACTCTAGCGGCAAAGTATATCCTATTTGGGTCTATGGGTCCTTGTAAGGGAACTCAGCCGGTCCGATCTTTTAAGCTGGAGTGGGACCTCTTGACTCGAGGCAGATGCGGTGGCCCAAGAGCTGAACCACATTGTAGGCGCGACACCCTCATCCTGGGTGCAGCAAAGCAACGATCCAGCCTTTGGTGAAACCCTATCGATCAGGGTTTGGGGCTTTAGTGTGTAATTAGAGTTGAGGGTAAAAGGAGTCCCATCTGCAAAAAGGCTTGAGGGTAAGAGCCTTTGCCTGTGGCAAAAAAGGGTAGTCGCAGTAAACACTACGCTGACTTACTGCTGAAAACACACACGCACGCTCAGTTTTGGCTTCAATTTGGGTCTCCCGACTGATCAGGTGGGCAATCCCGGACGAGGCGCCGGTGTAGCAAAGTCTGGGTTCCTGTTGAAGAATTTAATTCGCGTTTCGATGATAAGGCACCCCATTGTTTACTATAGGTCCCCATAATTATTATTGTAACGCAATCCAAATTCCTGCAGCAAAATTTTCACAGCCCGAAGACCCTTGGGTCCCGTTCTTATGTGGTCCCTGTGCTGAGGATCATGCGCTGCAGGGCGTTTAGAAAGATGCCTTTTCCCGTCTTCGCAATGTTGAGGATGAAGCCAGGGCTTTTAGAGGTTAGGAGTCGCAGTGTTCAGTGGTCTAGGGTATATAGGCTAGAAAAGGGTTAGGGTTTATAGGGGTTTCGGGTTTTGGGCTTAGGCATTCACGACTTAGTGCCTTACAATCCCTGCTCACGAAAGCGGTTTAGGGTTTGGGGTCTAGGGGCTTCCGGTCCCGGTTACGCTGGAATGGCTGAAGCCTCGCATGCCCGGGCTGTCCGATTGCAAGCGCGCGGGCGCCCAAAAAACTCAGCTGCCTTGAAGGTGGCCCTCGGAAGGCGCTGCATTCTGCTCAGTTCGAGAGGCGTCCGAGACCTGGTAAATTCGAGGCTCAGGGTATAGGGTGGGCTATCATAGGCCTGAGTGTGGAGGTTTCTAGGGTTTATTTTCAGATTTGAAGTTCAGGCTTATATTATATGTTACTTTCGGGATAGAAAGAAGAGTCTAGAGCCAGAAAGGGCTCTCATTTCGGGGCTCTGCATCATCTGAGGGCCTGATGGGGCCTTTCCCGGAATGGGGGGCGATCGGAGCCCTAAGACCCTGAGGCATCTACAGAGTTCGTCCCAAAAGACCTTGGGGTACTGTTAGTCCTCAACCTAAGAAGTGGGTAGACCCTGCAGCCTGAAGTCTAAAGACCCTACTTGAGCCAGAAGTCCGAAAGTTCTCCAGAACAAGCCCTGTGTTAGGGTTTAGGGTTTAGGCTTCAAGCTTCCGGTTCCTGCAGGACTCCAGTCAAAGCCTAAACCGCCATGCGCGCCCTTCACGCCTACATCCCCGAAAACCCTGCAAGCCAACCCCTTGTTGGCATTTAGGGAGCATTGGGGTTAACATTGCCCAGACGACGGGGTTGCCCTGGGATCTGTATGCTGAGATTAATTAGCTCTCGTTTCGGGAACCTGGTCATCCCCGTCTAGTACAGTTGAACGTATCGGCACTTTCCAACCTCGCTAGTGGGCATAGAACCTCAGCCATGCGAGAGGGAAAAAAACCCCTTAACACCCTTCTAGCCGAAGCATGCCTAGAATCCAGTTGAGCAATGTGAAGAGCAAAGAAACAACCTTAGGCGAAATCCGACCGTACAGAACTCACAAAAAGTCACAAAAAGTCGCTTAGGGCCGCAGGGCTTTGTTGCAAGCTGTGGGTTTTCTGCTTGAGAACGAACCCCACAGCAGGCCTCCAAACCCCTAGGACCCCTAAACTAAAGCCCCGGATCCGACCCTAAAAGCCACCCGAAGCCCCAAGCCCTAATCGCTATTCAAAGTCCTCATAGCCTTGCGGCACTTGAAACTTCAAAGAACCCTAACGGAAGCCTAATCGTGAGCTCCAGAGCCCAAGTCCAAGGCGCAACCTCTACCAGCCGGCTTTGGAGAGAAGGGTGCCGTAGGGTCTATGTAGGGTCTTGGGTAATATAAGGGGCGGGATGATAATGATATTCGGATATTCGGTAAAATACGGGGTATCAAAAGGTGTACCAGGGCAACAAGCCGGAAAAAAGAGATGACGTCCCACTTGTTTAAGGGGTCTGCTAAGGGCTAGAAGGTTTATTGAAGGGTTGGGGGATCGGGGTTTTGGGGGAATCGGCTTGTACGAGAGTGAGAAAGCGAGAGACTGACAGAAAGGGACTGCCAGCTCTCCATACCCCGGAGCAAAGAGATAGAAAGAGAGCACCCGAGAACAGGTCCCCGAAACGAGGTTTAGGCACTTTAGGACAGACGCATGCTCCGGGCTAGGGACTGAATGAAGGTTTCCAAAATTTGCGGGCTGAAGGCTGTAGCTTCAGGCATGAAACTTCAAGCTTTCGAAGATGCAGTATGGGACTCGGGTCTCTTCGCATGCTTTGGGCACCTCATGGCCCTACTGCCTACTGGAAGCAAGATGTTAGGGTCTGCTAGGGCTTAGAGGTTCAGGATTTAGGGTTAGTCTTGGGCTGCAATAAATAAATGCCCTGAAGCTACGGACCTTTGCAAAAGCTTATCTAGCTTTCGCTGGGAGAAAGACAGGGTCTTTCTTCTGAAGGCTTAAGGCTCCGGGGTGCACGTCCTCGGGGTTCCTCTAGAATCGGTTTAGGGTTTAGGGGCTGTAGACTCGTCTGCTCCACCGCTGGCGCTCAACAAACATCGGCCCTAGACCCTATGCCCTAAAATCCTGAGAACTGAACGGTGAGAGGTCGACACCCTAAGCTCCCAAAGAGTAATGATGTAGAGGTCTGAGTAAAGAAAATGTTGTCCCCGTCGGCCCCAGAATCACCCTCAGAACCCGGTTCTCATCAAGACATAATTCGGACCTCGACATTCATGTGTTCCTATCTGCAGGTTCGGTTCCTGCTGCAAGCCTCGGCTGATCCCAATGGGATGGTCTTGGGCCAATGCCGGCTCCTCGCAGGGAGTGTCGGAAAGCCATCCCGATCCTTTACGGCGAAAGGTACCCTATAGGGTTTACGAAACACTTGCAAGTAAGGAGGTGCATAGCGAAGGGTTAAGGACTCATACTTTTGAATGCTGTTTGGAATTTGTTAGGGATCACGTGGTCCTTAACAATTGTGTCTCCGCTCTGTTGTGTTACACGATTTGTCCGGTGTGGCCCAACTGTCGGAGACTCGCATAGCCGAGCTCCCCTCGCATGCCATCATGTCCTTCGTCCCAAAGCCCAATTACAATGCGAGGCTCGTGACACTGACAAAGCCAAAAAAAAAACATCCTTTGTCACATGCGGCCCTCGGGTTCCGTAAGCGGGAATCCAATGCCCTGCTGCCCTACAGCTCTACATGCTGCACATGTCCTATTAGGGTTTTTGGGGTTTTGGGTGTAGGTAGCATGGCCCAGACCCTGCAGTCTACAGCCGAGTGTGCTTTTTCAGCGCGGTCAAGGTGATTGGCATTGCCCACCGCAGTCGCCATTGATGCCAGGACCCTAATGGTTCGCCAGCTAAATTCTAAGTCTACAGAACTCACAAAGTTGGGTTGGTGTTAGGTGGTGAATCCCCCTTCTCTCGGTCTCCCGAACCCCGCCTCAGCCAGATGTGGCATTCCAACCCCTCACTTGGGCGGATGGATAAGAGGTGTCAAAAAACAAAGTTGGGTTATAATAGGACGGGGCTGGTATTATGTGCTTCTACCCACGCGCTGACCAACAGTCGAACCTCAGGGATAAGAAGCTCGAAGTTCACCAGTTCTGACTATCACTATTAGAAAATGACTCCTAAAGTGGAAGACCTCCAGAATCTCCGGTCAAGCGAGGTAGACAGGTTGCAGCGATGCCAGACGGTACTCTGTAGGTCGTGGCAGCCTTCATCGAACAGATTCACAGTTGATGTGTCTTTTTCAGGCCCAGGTCTCTCAGGGTCCAAAGTCGGCCTCCTTTGGCTGCCATGTCTTCGTCGGCTGGCACGATGGAGCCTTCAGAGCCCCCTCCGCGGCTGAACGAGGAGGCTGATGTCCCCACTTGCCTCGAGGAGTCTGTGAACAGTCGCCATCCTCGGGGCGAGAAGGAGGAGAGCCACCACGTCGATGCCGCGAAAGAGGAGCTGAAGGACAAGATCAATCCCGACACCTCAGCTTCCAAGTCCGAGCTTCGAGAGTCGGACATGGAAGTCGAAGCTCCACGCAGGCCTCCGCAGGAGGCGCCATCATCGAGCACCTCATCTTCTACCGAGAGGAAGGACCTCGACAAGAACAAGGAGACTCAGCAATCCAAGGCCGAAGATGCGAACACCGCACACATGGAGCGAAAGTCGGAGTCATCGAGCCACAGGAGGAAGGACTCAAAGGACGGAGCGCGTTCATCGCACGAACCCCCGGCCCCGACACCACAAGAAGAGAGGGCACGAGAGGAGAATGAGGAGAGCAATCCATGTCCCAGACACGACCGGCCGCCCAGCACTTCCGTCGCTGCTACCCAAACCGAGGCTGAGTTGCAGATTGAGTGCAACTTCTAATTTTTGGGGTTGTATGAACCTGTATAAACTCTACATAACCCCAAAAGGTCAATTTTTGGTTCCCTAGTAAACTGGACAAGTAATGTAACCATCTCAGACCTTATGGTTTAATCCTAACCTCTAAGAAACTGTCCCTAAACCCCTTAATCCTAAACCCACAAGCTCTTGGACAAGTAAGGAAGACGCCATCCCGCCAGGCTCCCCGATTCAGGTCGTCGTTTCTCCGAGGCCAAAGAGGACCCCTCGCGGCGAGCGCGGCAGGTCCCCTAGGGACGACTTGTGCCCTGAAAGGGTCTACAAGGGAATCGAGCCACCTATGAGGTTCAGTTACCATAACTTTATAGATGTATGATACGGGTTTATGGTAAAAGGGTATAGGCGGTATAGGCCCTTAAGCTCTTGACCCTCAACCCTGAACCCAGGGGTGCGCCTCGTTGCCAAAAGCCACGGGCAGTACTCTATAATTATGGTCAATAACCCTACTATCGCGTAGACACTGTTTTCCAAACACTACATAATCCTGCATAACACCATGGTGCTTTGAACAACACTTAAGGCCTAGACGTCCTCTTGTTCTCTCTGCGCCTAAGCCTTACCTGGACCCTAAAGAACCTGCTTGTTTAGGGGTTCCTTATTCCGATCTCCTTATATATAACTCCTTCCAAGCGTAGGTGATGCAGGGTCCAGGAGTCCAAGTAAACCCCAAAAGCGGTCCTAAACCCTAAACCCTAAAAGCGGCCCTATAAACCCTAAACCCTAAACCCTGAACCCTAAACCCTACACCCAAAAAGCGGCCCTAAACCAGGTCCTCTTCTCTCCGCCAGCCACTCCTGGGTCAACCCCCGACGCAGACGCGGCGCCAGAGCCGGCAGGCGAGGAAGGCCAAGAAGGAGGCAGATCTGGGAGCTTCCAAAAGCCAAGGTTTTAGGATTTAGGTTTTCGGGATTTTAGGGTTTAGGGTTTTAGGGTTTGAGGGTTTTGGGGTTTAGGCTTTAGGGTGGGACTTCGGGTTCAGGGCTGAAAAGGGTTTCAGGGAGATTAATGGAGGTATACACTTGACTTGTTTGAGGGGTGCTTAACCGGAGGATCCTAGTACTTAGATCTGATGTTCGGCGAGTTTCGCGGAAAGTTGGCCTGTGTAGGCACGCCCTCCCAAAAAATACTATAAATACGGTGACTACCGTGTTTGGGGTTGCTGATAGTTTTAATAATGAGGATCCTACCATCTAAGATCGATGAGACACCTTGTTTTTGCCTGAGGCAGAGATGTTGGCGAAGTACGAGGGCTGCAGCTTCACGAGGGCTATCAACAGTGCCGGTGTTCGTTGGCTAACGATCTGCGCCGCTATTGTCTTCATGTGGACATTGCTACCCAAGCAACCCACTGCTCTGCCACGTGAAGGGCCATCCCATCTGCCACATGAAAGCCCATCCGGACTGCCACATGAGCCTTCGCACGAAGAAGACAGGAGTTCGCACAGAGGTGCTGTGCCCCCGAAGCCCGAAGAAAGTGAACTCAAGCTTGCCCAGAAAGAGCTCAAAGATGAGCTTGCCCAGCTGGCCGATCTGGAGGAGAAAGAGAGGAAGACGGAACGTGTGGAGAACCTGGCACGCCTGTCGCAAAAGGTTAGCGAGGATGAAGCCCGATCCCAGAACAACAAGGACTGGGTTCTTGTTAAGGGATGTAATTTAAGTTACCATAATAAGGCAACCATATATTATTTACCATAGATCCCTATTATGGCAACTTAAATAAAATCCCTTAGCAAGAGCCCAGAGGAGCTCCTACGGCAGGCGGCCCTGGATGCCGAAGTCCAGGCGAAGCTGGCCATGGAGGAACTTCAGGAGGATCAAGCCATCAAGCACCTGCAGGCCAAGGTGAAGATGCAAGAGGAGAAGATAGACGACTTAGAAGCAAGCGCAAAGGGAGAGAGCCCCGCACAGAAGTCTCCCTGATTGGGCGTTAGAAGTCCACAATCGCTGCATGGCGCCTCTTTGAATGCCCATCGTGAGGCCAAGACTCTTGACTGCTTCTCTCGTGCTAGCTGCTAGTGTCGACGCTCGTATAGAGTGCCAAAACAGTCGTTGCAGAGGGGAGCAAGGCGTGCCCATCCACACGCAGGCTCATCGTGTTGAGACCTATGAGTATGACCAGCTCAAGCCCGCCGTGATGCTAACTAACTTCCAGCCTTGCATTCAGATCCTGTGCGGTAGACATGAGGTGTTGCGCGATCCATGGCTGGCAGTGCGTGGCTCAGACGCTGCTGCACGCCAAGGCCGTTGTCGCAACCACTTCAGCCAAATGCCTCTATGCCCATCTATGCATGACCGAATTCCATAGGGGCACGCACTTTAAAGGCAAGATGCTACTTAGACCCAGGGGTTCAGGTCACCGCGGTTTCATGCTCCATGTATCGCCTCCTGCTGCAGAATACCCAGACAAGGGCAGACACTCTAGTCTTTACATTCTACTATATTGTCATGGATCATACGATATGTAATATCACGTTTCATTTTATCAGTCGTACTATACTATTATATATGATATAAGTTCTATTGTATTAAACATTATTTCATAGTATATGATGCTAGTATCAGTTTGACCAGTTGAAAGTCGGCACGCTTTTCAAACGCGGACTTCCGATACCACTGGACCCTAACACAGACCCCAAGTAATGAACTCTTGTTTATTTCACTATGAAGGCGCATAGAGACGTTACCAAGAAGTTTAAGCATGTAGGACTCCCCTGCCTTCCAACCTCTGTGTGGCCTTTTACGGCCCCTTGACTGCATATGAGTAGTCGAACAGGCAAGAGCCCAGAAACGACGAAAGCAAGGGTCATGGGCTTAGGCTGAGAAACCCTACGAGCCAAACCGGCAGGCAGCGCCATCTCAAGCGGATGCCTCTGGCGGCACGGCGCTGCAGTATGCAGCGACTCATGGTGAGGTGGAGGGCTTGCCCTGCTTGGAGTTGGTTTACGACTTCGAAGACCCAGCTCAGAATTCCAAACGCCCTCAGTATGTCAAAAACCAACAGCATGTCAAGGCAAGAATATCGACGCGGGTGCTGGAGTCTGCTAAGCCTAGTAGAGTTAGTAGAGGTGTTGGGGGATAAGCCCTCCATGCCCTAAGCCAGTAAACTTAAATTTCAGATCCCAAACCCTAGACTATAAAGCTTCACAACATAAGCCCTGCCATGCCCTGCCTGCAGCATTGTAGTTCCTTCACTGGGTTACTGAGATATTTATTAAAAATAAAAGCTTGGGGAAATAACCAAAAAAGGAACTACAGTGGAGACTATTGGTAAAGCCTCAGTATGCGGGGCCAGAGCTCCCAGCCTTTAAACTTCCGAAGGAATGCTTGATCTCAGGGTTTTGTGTTTAGGGATTTAGGGTTGCAGCAGCCCGTCCCTGAACTTTTCAACACATGAAGCGCGAATGAAGCCCCAAAACTCAAACCATAAACCCTAAACCCTAACCCAAAGCCGAAACCCTAAACCCTAAACGGCCCTAAACCCTAACAAAAGGATGCCAGGAGATCCTTCGACTCTGAACCCATCTCTGCTTTGGCCGCTTTTTCGGATGACGTAGCATTCAGCTCTCCACTTCTTACCTATACACCTGGACCCCAAGAAAACCTACAACTTTTGGGACCCCTAGAAACCTACAACTTCGTTTAGGGCGCCACTCGATTTTTAACTCGATACATGTCCCTCAGGTAGGTTCTTTTGGGGTTCAGGTAAATCCTAAAGTCCGGAGGCCTTCAAACAAAAACCCAATGCGCAGACCCCGACAACTCCTGGGACTAGAGGAGGAGTTGTACAATCTCCTGCTGAAAGCTGCGGCGGATCCGAACCAAAAGGACAGCTATGGCCCGGCGCTCTGATATGGGACTTTCCGAAACTTAGGGGTGCCTTATTTTGGGGTCCTTTATAATAAGGATCCTACTATTTAGGGTGCTATATTAGGGTCCCCTATTTTCGGAAACCCCCTGATCTTTACGATCGAGGGTTTGGGGTATTGCGCCTTAAATGCCTGAGTATTTGGGGGGGGATTAGGGCAATGAAAGTAGGCTAGGGCAGCTTCAATCTCATGTAGTATAAAAGGAACCCTAAGCCGTAAATCCCGCCGTTGACTTCGAAATGAACCCTAAACCCTAGAATGCTAAATAGCAGAGGGTAAGCCCCGAAAATCGCAAACGAAGACATCTTAAGTTGAACAGCCCTGACATCGAAAACCTTCCTTTGAAGAGAAACCTTAAGGTAAATAGCTCTAAAATACCTCCCTTTCACCGAGTATAGCGAGGAGCGGATCAGTAACCCTTCGGCTGACGGTCCGCTGACTCAGGCAGATGCGCCTCAGAGCTTCTGAAGACGCCAGGTGGGAATGAGATTTCGGTTTAAAGTTTATAGGGTTTAGGATTTGGGTTTAGGGGTTCAGGGTTTGGGTTTAGGGGTTTAGGATTTAAGGGGTTTGGGGGTTGAAGGTTTTATGTAGGGTTTTTATGAGTTTTAGGGTTTATATGGTTCGACAGGCTCCTCCGTGATTCAGATGTTTCAGGTGCTGAGGGTTTCTGCCACGAGTACTGCAGCTCTCAGAACCAGGCGGGCATTTACAAGTCTGTGCAAAGAAGGGTTTATTGTCATTCACAGAGTGCTAGACCAAGAAATGGATAGATAGGTCGATCGCTAGGCATACATCTCTCAGTATACTTATGGCTACATTGTACGAATACACGTACGTTGCCTTGGTGTGTTTTGTCAGCCATGGAGGTGCAGGACTTGGCAAGAGACTTGCGCGCGCACCTGATCGACACCGTGGGACTCGACTTAAGGGACGACGCACTGTCGGAGACGGAGGTCCTGTTTGCGTCTTTTCTGGGCCTCATGAGGCAGCAGCTTTTGTCTTCAACCGTTTTATGTCCGGTGATCTACCGCTTTCCCGAGCAGCTTTGCGGAAGCTGGTCCGCGACACCGGAAGGCCAGCGTGCAAAGGCGTTTTTGGATGCCGGTGGCGATGCTATGGACCAAGATAAGATGTGGCAACTGATGCTATACACCTGGCTTGGCGCTGGAGGCGTCGATGGCCTTCCATGGCAACATATCTGCGCCACTAATGGTCTGACACGCTACGACGCAAGCTCAGATCAAGCGATGGCAGTGCTGAAGTTTGCAATGTTATATACACAGCTGTGCGATAACCATGTCTTGAAATTCTTTGGCAGTGACGGTCGCGACAAGGGGTTGCGGTTTAGTCAAGACAAGTTCTTGATGCTGAAAGCCTGGCATGCTGCGGTTCCAGCCTTGACTGTTGCATTCAACTTCAACTCAGCAGACTTTGTGTCAAAGATGTATGACATTGATGGCTTCGGACACCTAGCCGTCAAAGAGGTCTTGAGCTACCTGGGTGTCTCCGCACATGAGCGATTTCGCGCGATGGCCTTTGGACTTATACCCTTCGGTCCGGGCGCGAAGAATGGTGCATCCGTGTTCTTTGGATGCACACGAAGCCTCCTGCAGATGGCGACAAACTTGCAGCCACGCATCCAAGACCATGTGACAAGATGCTTTCCAAATGTTGAGCCTGGAGTTACTGTGGTCGATATAGAGATATTTCTTTGCTACGGTTACTCATATTGCAAGATGGTTCAACAGCTGCGGTCAGGCTCCGGGACTTACAAGGTGCCCGCTGGGTGGAGCCCTAGGGACAACAAGGCCATCATTCCAGTCTTTGATGGCCCCCTCACAGCGCGTGAGGCAGTTCCACGTGGACATCTGAAGACACCGTGGCATCTGGCGACTTTCTGGGGCTGTCAATCCCTTGCAAAGCACTTCGGGCAGATTTCGGCTAAGCACGCAAGGAAGCGTCCTGCGAAAGCTCTGACAGGAACCCAGTGACCCCGTGCAGGATGCTTGACGGAGCTAGCGGACTGGAGTCTACCCCAGGTGCAAAACGGCCCAAGGTCAGTCGAGAGGCGGTGTGCTTGATGCAGCTGGCGTTTTCACATATGTCTTCATGTGCACAGCTGTTCTTTCGGCCATGAGTTGGACAGCTTTTCAGCTAGTTAGTTGGTAACACTCTAACCATGTTCCCGGCATCGGGGCAGGCGTGGCTTTAAACTTCCTCCAGACACGTCGTCAGCCAGTTCAGCTGCAGGACATGGGGGATAGACCGTGAATTCTGGCTTCAGACTCTAGGTTTCAGAGTAGGTTGCAGGGAAACGGTGGGTAAGGTCATTTCAGTTAGGAAGGTAGGCTTGGAGACACTTTTTCGTCTCATGTATCCCCACAGCACGCAATACAGTTTTTTTCGCACACTGCACGCTCGTGTTTCGCATTAGTTTGTGCATGTGGGTTTTTGCGTACCCCCATTCTGAAGCGCAGGTCCTTCTGTCAAGCACATTCCTTGTCTGTTGTTCAGGAGCCTGATGCAATCATTTCCCGTATAAACAGTTGGCATCCCCGAACCCGTCATTTCAAAATCAGAAACGGTTACAACGAAGTGTCGAAATAGGCAAAACCGATGGAACCGACCCGAGGCCTTGCTTACAAAGTCTTGTAAAGTTGTAAAATGCGGTTCCGACTCACACACTATACACAAGCTCCTGGTAGCTACCCGCCCAACACATGTTCGTTAGATGTCGTTGTTGGCAGTCTTCTATGTTTCATTGCTACCAGCTAGGCAGCCGCAGTGTTCAAGGTTTTCTGGAAGAAAACAAGCAACACAGCAAAGGGCTTAGGCCCTCCCACCCATGCCTGAAGCAATCCCGAAAAACAACAGCTATGCAACAGTCTTGACGAAGGAGGCTGGCATGCAGATTGTCAGGCACGGCTGGCTTTGCAGAGGTTACGGCTTGGGGTTTGAGGGCTGTGCGGGAAAGCTCAGGATCTGTATTTCGCAGTGGATGTCAATTCAATTGACGTGTATGCCCTGAGATCCGTCCGTGCGCCACCATGCGCGGTGAGACTTATGTTTCGGTCCAGCATGTGCGGGCATGCTGAAATCAATTGTGTTGTTCAAAGTGCCCCGCGGTGCTACACCTTGTTGTTTATAAGTTTTGTCGTAGCAGCCCGCAAGGTCAGTTTTTTGTCAAACACCTTCTCCACGAAGGCAAGCCCAACAATCGAATTTTACCGACGTAGGCGAATTCGTAAAACCCAATCGACAACACCGGAGCCTGCATGCGCTGTTGTGCTGCAAAACCATCAGCATCACCAGGATGCGGGTCGACGCCCTGCTACTTCCGAGGACGGTTTGTTTAGGCTTCTGTTTTAATGTTGTCACGTTGCGGTTTTGGGGGATTGATGAAATGCAGCTATAGGGCTTGTGGCGACTTTGCAGACGGGCCGTAGAGTGGAAAGGTTTGGGAGCACAGTTTTGGTCCTCGTTTGGAGCTGTGCGGTATTGACTCTAATTCGAGTGTTGGGGTTCGTTCGCCTGTCTCCATTTTCGTTGCTTGGTTTGCTTGGGTACGCGGTTGGGCACCCATGGGTTCCACGGAATTGAGCGATGGGTGGACGTTGGGCCAAGTAGGCGTGTGGAAAGAGAAAGAGAGGAACACGCTTAAACACTAAACAACCCCATGCAACCTTTAAAGCCCGCGACAAAACCTTAAACCTGGGTTGGTGTAGTTTTGACGTTCTGCAAATTGCCCAGGCACGATCTTGAGAAATTTCCGGGGCACGTGCCGAAAGTATCCTAACTCTGCAGGCGTCTTGACCCCTAAATTTTCCTGTTGTGCTTGCACGAAGGTTGGAGGATCTCAGAGGGCGTTGTAAGTACGGGCATTCAACCAGCGAAACCCTACTTGCGCACACAAGCTTTTGTGGAGAGGTTCGTTGAGGATTTCGTGGCATTGAAGAGACCTGCATCGGGCCCAGTCGCAAAGACTTGTACGATGCTGGTAATGTTCTCGGCTTTCAAGGGTGCTCCTGGAATCGTTCTCATTCTCGGGCATGTAGGGCTTTCCTTGTTCTTTTTGGGGAGAGGAAACCCGAAATCCGTCCAAACCCGAATCCCCAAACCCTGAACTTCGCCAGGCTTGTTCCCAGTTCTGAGTGCTGAAACCCTGGACCTCCAAGCCCAAACGCTGAAGCCCTGAATTCGTCGAGTTGATCACCGACCTTAGACTGGAATGAAGTTTTTCGGCTGGCGTGCGGCTTTTTGGCTGGTTTTGGGGTTTAGAGTTTAGGGGTCAGGTGCAGGGGGGCGAGAGGTAGGGGCGGCTGGAGCTGCGTGGGGAAGAACGCAACCATAAATTCCAACAGTTTGCGGAATTAGGCAATAAACCCCAGAGAGCAGGCTATAGGCTATAGGCATTTCTACTTTAGGTTGAATTGGCAGATGTAGAAAAGTACAGCAAACGCCGCAGCAAGATGTGCTCTCAGGACGCCACGAGTCCATGGAATTTTGTGGATAACAACTTTTCCAATGCCACTAGGACCAGATAAAAAGGTTGACCTCAGCCTTCAACACAAACTACCTATAGTCTCCATTGTAGTTCAAGCTTTCGGGCAATAGGATCCTAAATCTTTGGATAAATCCAAAAACGGAACCGCGAAACCAGCAGCAGTAAGGCAGACTGACGGCATGTCGCCCCAGCAAATATGCGATGCCTCGACACCAGAGCAAGTCTCCAAGAGCCCAGACCCCCCAAAGAAAAGAAATACCCCTCATGTTTAGTGCCCCCTTATAATCCCTGTTTAGTGATAGAGTTGGCCCTATTCCAACTATTCAGGCCCATATAGCAGGCTCCAAGTTTAAAGCATGCAGCTTGCAAACAACAACCTTTGCCAGTTCATAAATTGCGGGCCTTCGCTGTGCACAGCGCTGCTGCACCAGATGGTGATTTGGTCGAGCTGATGTGCCTTGGAAGCGCAGGGACATTCGGGAGGAGAGCACAGTGGCTCATGAAGAGCAGACCTAAAACCTAATACGCCCCAAACCCTCAAAGCTTCACTCACATTCCTCCGTTTTGTTCCATGAACCTACCGTTGTGCCTCGGGCCGAGCGAAGGAAACCCTGCAGTTGGTGTGCAGCGACGTATGATATACCTGAAGATGCAACCACATATACTTAAGTGCCTAAGTATACCTGAGTTTCCAACGGTTACACAGCAGTTTCAATAGGCCTGGATGCAAGAAAGTAGAGACTTTGTGCATGTTTGTCCGATCTCTCTCCCATGCCCGAGGTTGCCGGTGCCTTATGTTTGGCTTCTTCGTCTGCCTCGCTGGGAGATGTGCCTTGCCTTAGTAATAGAGTATGTAGCCGTTAACCTTCTGGGGGTCGTAATTGCAAACCTCATGTTACTATATATGTATGGAGTCTAGAGTCATTATGGAAGACACTCAGGTGCCATGGCTCAGATGGCCACCACGCTCGATATCGAGGGCTCCGAGCGCAAGGTCACCTTGCTGGCTGGGGCGGCACGTGTGTATGAGACTCAGTCCTCCAATACCCAACTTTGCATGTTTGGGCTTTGTTATTCTCTTAAGTGGTAAACAGCTTCAGTACGAACAGCTACTATGATATCCGGCTTTCAAACATGTTGGTGCTCTTGTAGCTAAGTTTTGCACAGCCACCTTTTCGGGGCTCTTATTGTCTTAGGTATTAGTAGTAGACGTTCAGTATTTTCTCTTAATATTCTTATATGTTCTTATGCTAGCATAGCCACTTTTTCTTCCTCACTAGCCCTGATAGAAACCTTTGTAGTTTCCTTGATAGAGACTGTATCCCTTCTAGACACCTCGCAAAACCCTAAACCCTATATACCCTAAAGCCATGAACCCTAAACCTTAAACGCTAAACCGCTAAACCCTAAACCCAAAAAGGCCATAAACCCTAAACCTTAAACCAAGAACCCAAAACCCAAAGAAAAAACCTAAACCTTAGACCCTGTACCCTAAACCCTAGGAGATGGACCGGAGCTCCGAAGCCATGGCCCCCGCCTCAGTGCAAGCAGCGGTCCGAGCCACTGCTTTTTGGGTGCTCCTTAGGCGTCACGTACCGTGGGTTTAGGGTTTAGGGTTTAGGGGTCATTGCTTGAATGTGGGGTTTAGGGTCGAGGGTTTAGGGTTTTCAGGTACATAAAACTCAACCTAAGCCAGGTTGTTCAGCATACGGTTTTGCATTTTGGGTCCTCGGCTCTCTCAATCAGATTCCTGCAGTGGGGATGCAGTGTCGGGGCTTGAGAATCATTACCATGCTGATACTCGAGTCCCTATTACAAGCATAGCCCGTGATATAATTACTCTCAAAACCCTGTCGTGATTTTAACCCTCAACCCTAAACCAGTGACTATACGGGTCATTCCTTTTAAAGATAGCATAAGCGTTCCTGTAAGGAGTACTGTAAGGGTTCCCATAAGCTCCTACAAGAGATACTTTTTCAGGGTTCCTAGAAGGGATACTACAGTGCCTTAAACCCTAAACCCCCTAAACCGAAGAGACCATAAGCTCCTCTCAGAGATACTTTTTCAGGGTTCCTAGAAGGGATACTACAGTACCATCGGCCCTAAACTTCCTAAACCGAAGAGACCATAAGGTCGTATAAGAGGTACTTTAAGGGTTCCTAGAAGGGATACTACAGGACCCTAAACCCTAAACTCTAAGCCGAAGAGACCAGGAGGCTCAAGAAGGCCCCGGTCCCTCGTTGAACTCTCGCGACTCGAGCGTTTCGGGCGAGGCTTGTCCGGGGGGAAGGGAGGCTCGTTGGCCCCAGCATGTCAGGACGTACAACTTTTGGGTTTAGGGTCCACGGGCGTTCTCAGAGGCCCAGCCGACTTTGAGGGCTTAGGGATTGCGGGCTTAGGGTGTATATAGTTTAGGGATCAGGGGTTTAAGGGTTGAAGTTCAGGGTTTACAGGGTTTAGTACCTCCGTTCCGCAAACGCCCAGCAGCGGACATTCCCTAATTCCACTTCAAAGTTGAACCTTAAACCCTCTGAGTTGCAAGCACTAAGCCCCAAACCCTACCAAAAAAGTAGAAGCTGAACCCCGAAACCTGAAGCTTAAGCCTAACTCCTCAGTCGTAAACTATGAGGATGTCACAACGTTCGTGCCGAACTGCGGCTTCTACAAGGATGCTCGGCAATAATTCAGCAGCATGCTTGCCTTCCTGCTAGAAAGTATCCCCGTGTAGCAGAGGTGCATCTTACTGAAGTTTATACCCCAAATCCCTAAACCCACAACCCTACACCCCCAAAACCTAAACGTCGTACTTAGGACCTCGCCAGGCTTGTCCCAGTTGTGAGTGCTGAAACCCCAGACCCCAAACCCTGAGCCCACAACCCCAAAACCAAAACCCTGGCTCTAAACGCCCTAAATCCACAAGCCTATTATAGACTCTACCACGAAGGATCTCCCCTGCGACTGCGACCACGTGCTGCTGAGTCCTTCTGCCGGCGGCCACTTAGCTCCCTTGAGTTCTGACAGTAGGGTTTCAGGAGGAACCTTGAGGTTTAGAAGGCTTAGGGCTGAGGGAGTAGAGGGCGTAGGGCTGCTATAATACGGTTTAGACTTCAAGGATTTCGGGAATCGGGTTGGGGAATGAGAGTTTAGGATCAATATGGGATGGGGAGTCTAAGTATGCTTTAACCAGCTTGGTCTTGTAGTTCATTCAATCGTACACCCTCTGCTTTGCGCTGAAATCTGGCAAGCCCCACGAGAACAGTTCATGCTTGACGAATTCGCGAGTATTGCCGATAACAGCCTGCCCAACGGACCCAGTCAAGCAATGCAGGAGGGCAACATCCCCACACAGTAAATTACCTAGACCCCAAAGAACCTACCTTTTTCAGGACCTGTTTCAGGAAATCACAGTAAGGAACCCTAAAAAAGGGAGGTTCTTTAAGGGTCCAGGTAAACCCTATAAAGCCCTAAAGCACTCAAAACAGAAACCCAAAAGTCCGAAACTCCTAAACCCTGCCGTCTTGAACCCATGCCTCGCCTGCAGCATCCGAGTTGCCAGAGTCTAACCCCCGTCAAAACTGGGTTCAGGGCTTCAAAAAGGGTTTAAGGGTTTAGGGTGCAGGGTTTTGGGGTTTTGGGTTACGGGTTTTAGGTGTAGGGTTTAGTTGGGGTTCAGGGCTTAGGGCTCAGGGTCTAAACCCTAAACCCCGGGTCTAACCTGAACCGTCGCGCCTGGAGCCGCTCGGGTGCGAGTCCAAAACCTTCAACCTCAAAAGACTCTAAGAAATATATCGCCCGCCAAGAAAACGAAAACGACACATACATATACCAATGTACTTGTATATATCTGTATCTGTGTACATAACTTATTCTCACACACACACATGTACAGATGCATGTGTGTGGATGTGTGTGTGTGTGCGTGTGTGTGCCGGTAACATCCACGCACACACGCACACACAAATTTACATAGAAATACATACGCCTGCACTGCAAGGCTTCTGGCCCGGTTTCGATCACCTGTGGCACCTGCCCTCGATCCAAAGGCTTCTGACGGTGCAGCGCCTGAGCTTACTGTAGGGCCCGAATTATTCGAATAGGGTTCCTCCAAGGATTCTTTGCAGGGTGTATTTACTTTGTGGTATAATGTGCTACACTACAAATCAGATCAGGAGCTATCGGGGAACATTCTTACCATTTTCCCCGACCCCTATAGTACATAGAGAAGTATGTTTTTCTTGGGCTCCTTATTGCAACGCCCTTACACCTTTGTTAGGTCGCCCATAGTACTACATAGTTGTTTTGGTGCTAGAGAGGGTCAGGGTTCGGGATCCAGGTGAAGAGTGTTGAGGTCTGGGGTTACACACCCCAAGCCTCAATTTGGGGTTTGGGTACTTCATAGGATGGTCTACCACCGCTTCGAAGACATCGTGAAGCCGGTGGGCAAGAGACACTGGCATGCCTCTGCTCTGGGCAATTTCAAGCTGCTCGGACTTTTCTGTCTCACAGTTTGAAACCCTAACCCCTAAACCCCAAACCCTAGAAACCCTTGCCTAGGCAAGTCCGAGTGTGAGTGCTGAAACGCTAGGGCGTAAACTCTGCGCTCTCAGTTCCTCGCCTCCAGCTGGTTCAGGAGTGGGCCCGTGGACCTTAACCACTTCAACTAGAGATATCAGCTTCGGCACGACCTAAACCCTGACAAAGAATCCGTGCCGTAGCAACTTCAACTCCAGTTCGCAGCTTACGGCTTGCTGGGCCTAAGCTCGTAGCTGGCTTTGCAGGGAAACCCAAGGGTAACCTTACTTTTCGTTCCCCTATGAAGTCGGACAAGTAAGAAGCCAAGAAAACCCAAGGAATTCCTTGGACGTGTCGCGACTCGGCTCTTCGAGAGATCGTAAGCATGAGTAATCTGATCCCCTTAGAGTGCGAATTCATTTGTCATTGTTCCATAGTTCAAAAACCCAAACCCAGTCCTACACCCTGAACCCAGACACCCTATTTGATGAGGCCCCTATACACATTATCTAGAAGTCGGCAGGGCTGCGCGGGAAGAGGCATGTGGTGTATGATTGGGGTCCGAACAGGTGGTAATACTGCGATACACGGGGGTTTTGGGGGCATGAGGATGGGGTCGGCTTATTTCCATGTCTTTCTGGGGTCTACAAGACCTCAAGGCGAACGCATGTTGGGCTTTTGATCACGGAATCAAATAATTTCCGAGGCCAGATGCCGCTCCTGTTCAGATTTCCAGACAGTGTGCCAGGATGCCAATACTCTTGAGTTTTGAAGTTGTCTTGACCCAAACCGGTTCGCCGAGAGCCCAGCACCCCGTGAGTAGGGAGTGTGCCTACGATCACATGACGGGTTCTCTATCTCTTCCCTATAAGCCAAAACACATCAAGTCCAAGGAACTCCTCACAAGACAGTTGAAGGTAGATTCTCCGCCCTTACACCCTAAACCCCCCCAAACCCAACACGTTGGGCGCTTCTCGGTTTTTGATTACGAGGGACTTCGGCAGCCTAGGGCTCGATTCGGCAAGTGTGGGTCTTTCTCAGGGCTTCTAGGGTCTTCTGGGCTTTCAGGTTTTCTGGTGTAGGGGAGTAGGTTTTAGATTTAGAGATTTCGTTAGGGGTTTTAAGTGCAGTTAGGGATTTAGTGTGGGGTTCGTAGAGGTTACAGTGCTGTTTCAGGTGCAAGGCTTGTTGAAATTTGAAAGCTCAGGGTGTGAATAGGGTTTAGCAGTGTAGCACCTCTGACAGAGCTCCCCGTCAGGGTGTGAATAGGGTTTAGCACCGCTGACAGAGCTCCCCGTCAGGGTGTGAATAGTGAATAGGGTTTAGCACCTCTAAACAGAGCTCCGATTTTGTAGAATGTTTGTTTTGCAGGGGATAGAGGGTACACATCGTCTTGATCAGAGGAAGGGTCAAGGGAAGGATGTCCCGTAGCAAGGAGCCCCGAATCTGACTGAATCGTCTAAATAGCGCTGAAAATCGGAACAACTCTCAGGTATCTCCTGGCCGGCATTTTCTCCATCCATCACTTCGAGGTGCACCGGTTATCTTTGTAGAACGACCTATAGAGTTCCCGAACGGTGTCGGCTATGGTGTAGCACAGGGGTTGGAATAATCAGTGGTAGTTTCTACTTATAGTGCACAGTCTTTTTTTCAGTACTACCCTATTCCAATAATTTAGGTCAGCGGCGACTCTTAGCCTTTGGTTAGCTCTCTGTTCTTGCGGGCCTCGGTGCCAACGTTGCTTCCATTGAGGCCATCAGAGGTACAAGAGGTTCCCTCTGCGCAAACAGCAACAGTGCAGGACCCTCAAATATTGGGGTCCCTCAAATATTGGGGTCCCAGACGTTCAAGAATCATTTCAGTATTCGCCCTCAACTTATCTGCCGAATGGTTACAGCTTTGCAGATCCGTGCCAGGCTTGTTACGAAAACCCTGGCTGCCTACTCACGCAGGGCCTCGCCGTGATGCTGGAGCCTTTGCTGCTTGTGATGGTCTAGGCCACTTATGGTTTAGAGCTCAGGATATGAGAGCCTGCAGGGTGGTGCTAAGCTTTCCCAAGCCATGGCATGATCTGCAAATTCCAGAGGAAGATTCTGAGGAACTGTTTTCGCTTGGCAGTTGCCACGTCAGAGGATCCCTTACGTATCCTAATGCAGCTCCAACCCTGTCCCCACAGGATACTGCCCAAAGTGCAAGGCAAAAATAAAACCTAGAACTAAATCCTAAATCCTAAACCCGAAACATTCACACTACGATCTGGAAGGTTCAAAGCAGGAAACTCTTGTTTAACCCGGACACCTGCTGTCAGTTTCTCACTAAGCTTCAGGCGTGGAGTTGCGCGTATAATCGGATTCCAGTAGATAGATACATAGGTAGGTAGGTAGGTAGGTAGGTAGGTAGGTAGGTAGATAGTTATATCGATAGATTGGTACATAGACAGATAAACCAATCGATTGATAGAATATGAAAGCACCCATAATCCAGCAGCCCACTCTACAGGCAGCGGAACCCAAAAGCCTAACGAAGTCCCAGGAGTGGCTCCTCACATTGATCCTCACTGCTTGCTTCCGGAACATGCAGGTCGAGGGGCTACTCGGTTCACTCCCAGTCTGCGTTGTTTTTTTTTCCCTTTGTGCCGCTTTGTTTATATTGTTATAAGTCCTCCCTGAAGACTTTATTGCCCGTAAACCCTACGCAAGCCCTAACCCCCTAAACCCCGAAACCCTTGGCCGCCCTGACATAACGCTCTTCCTGATAATCATTTGGAATTTCGGTTCTGGGAGCCTCAAACTATTGATATGTAGCCCCCCGCTGTCGCGACCAGGCTACATACCTACTTGCACAGCCTGGAAGACACAACGAAAGTCGTCCCTTGGCAGGGGGCTCCCTTCCCTCTGCTGCTCAAAAACGCTGCTGGGCGCAGTGGGCTTTTCTAAAGTTTCCGTGGGGGTTCAGATTCGGTGGAGCTTTACGGCCACTGTTCCTTTCGAAGGTCTATAGGTAGGACCCCGAAATTCCTCCACCCTGCATAGGCGAAGGTGGAGATGTGCAGAGGATTCCATGTTTCCCAACAAGTCCTGAACCCTGTGGAAGTTCCCCCGTCTAAGGTTCCCGCTCTTCTAGGGTACTTGAGGTTTAGGTGTTGCAGGCATGGCTACAAAGCCCGGGTCTTGATTCAAATTAACCTTACGGTTTAAAGTTTATGGCTCAGGGTGTTTTATTGCGACTGTCTTTTGGGGTTCAGGGCGTTTGCTTCGGCAACCGCGTGCCACTGGTTTTGCATCCCAAACCCTAAAACCTAAGGACTTTCGGGGGCGAAGGTGAAAGGAAGGAGTATGGGTTTTGCTACTACGTTGTAGGGATCTTATGTAGGTTTGAAGTTCAGGGGTCGAGGGGTTCGGACGGTTTAGTGGTTTCGGTTGTGCTGCGAGGTATTCCGTAAAGGACTGTCGGTAGTCTTCAATGCAGTTCCATTTGTTGGTCATCCTGGTTTTGTACTTTGGGGTCCTGACAATAGACTTGGCCAACCCCAAAAGGGGTACTGCACTGGAGATTAAACCGAAACCCAGAAAAACCTTATGTAACCCTACACCCCTTAGTGTAACTTATCCAAAGCTGGGCCGGCAACGCTGAGATGTCTTTTAACGCACGGAGGTCTCTAGGATTTGGAGTGGTTATTGTTATCCGATCGAATTTTGAAGCCACACTGTGTGAGCAAAACCCTTACTTAATAAACAGAAGTCCATGCAGGGGCTTCGGGTTAAGTTTGAGGCCGAAGCTATTTCCCTCAAAGCGGATCCTGAGTCACATAAGCCACCGTGAGCCCACGGTCTGTCGGATCTGCTTAGGCTTATTGGGCGGAGACTTTCGTGTACGTGACACGGCAGCTGGAAAGCTTGACGGTCAAGAAGGAAGACTTCTCAGCGAGGAAGCTTGGCTCTTACAAAATTCCATAATCAAGTGGAAGGCCCTGAACATGGCCTGACCGATTGCGAAATGCATCGTCGACATAGGAAGGCGACTCCAGGATCAGGTTTTAGGGTGGTTCGGCTAGGTTATCGGCTGGTCGGGTCGAGTCCCTAAACCAAAAGTTGTGCAACGGTGTCTTGGTAGACCCGCACACAACACAACCCGGGGGCCCTGCAGAACTACGTAATGTGGGGAATGAAAAGAAGCACGCACAAACTCTGAGCCGAACTACACACTACACCACTCTTAAGTACGAACTAAACCTTTGCCTTGTACTCCTGAACTCTGGGCTAAACCTGAACCCTAAGCCCTGTAACGCTTGAGTTTACAAACTCCAACACCCCAAGCCGAAGCGCAGGTGCAGCGCTTCAAAGGATCAGTCATGGGGCAAGCCTTGCCTGCATTGTGCGAGTATGAGGGTCGAATCTAGATCAGACCCTTATAGAATTTTAAACCCGTAAACCTCATAAGCCCCTAACTCCTAAGTAAGCCTTGTACAGAGCCCGGGTTAGACACTGAGCCCCCAAGCTGTAAGCCCCGTAGGGATTGGGTTCATAAGATCTTCACCTCGGAACCCAGAGGCATCTCGTTGGGGGCACGGCGCCCGACGGTGAGGAGGGCTTCAGGCGGTCCTTGGCGAACATGGGCGTGGACCTGGAGAAGGACCAGCTTCTTTAGATTAGGGCTTACCTGAACCCCAAAAGTACGTAAAATAATGGCCTTTAAGGGTCTTGGGCTATTATTTTACCTACTTTGGGGGTTTAGGTAGTTTACCGTAGAGCCCACGTCAATTTCATTAGGACCCTGCCCTCGTCTACTGTAAACCCTAGAACTAGGGTTTGCATAAGGCGGCTGCATTTCTCTCAGGCGGACCGGCAACCACGAAGCCTCCAAAACCTGCGATGTAATATAATATAGAAGCATCAATAATTGAAGTACCTAGGACCTAGAGCATAATGTACCCCGAAACTTGCCCAAAACACAAGTAGTGGTTAAGGCTCCCATATTCAAGGACGGAAGATTTAGTAAGACTACCCTTTCATGGTCGCCATGTGGTCCCTAATGTATAGTAGCAGCAAGACCTTTCTATAATGGCGAAGGCTCCTGCAGCAGTACCGAAGCTCCCCCGGAATAAGTCCAACGGCTTGGGTGAGGGGTTTTAAGGTTTTGGCTTTTGGGTCACTGTAGGGTGTAGGTCTTCAGGAGTATGTTTAGGGGTTTAAGGTTTAGGTTTGTGGGCTTGGGTCACACGTATACCCGAAAACATCCTGTTAGACATGTTGGTCCTACTACACAAGTCCAATGGCGTAAGATCCCACGCCCCAGCTCAGCGATAACAGGACTGCCAGGGGATCGTGCAGTGGCGGGAGAGAGCAAAGGAAGCGGCGAGCTTCCAGGACGCCGGGGGTTGGGGACTTTGGCTTTTGGATTTAGTAAGAGCTCAGAGCATTGAGGGTTTCGGAATTCCGGCGAAACCCTGAAAGATTTCGGGTCTCGGGGTGTGGAGGTCAGGCGCCCGTCCGTGCCTAAGCGCCGAATAGTCTTGGGTCTAACGATCTGAGGGGCTCGCCAGATTCCTACGAGGTCAGCATATCGTCTGCTGGAGACTTAAATTCTGTGCCCATCATGTTTGGAAAGTCACAAATGTTGAAGCGGGCCCAACTCACCGACCTCCGGCGAAGGATCTCGCTACGGCCTTGAAGATGATACAAGAGGACTCAGTGCAGTTTCTGTGAGTTTGCTCATCTTAGGGTTTAAGGTTTATAGGGTTTAGGGTTTAGGGTTTAGTGAGTTTGCTTATCTTTCCAGGAATCTATCGCGACCTCTTGGACCAAGTCTGCACGGTTACATAGGACGTCTCTTGTTGTTTTCAAGGGGTGTTCGGAGCCGTGCGGAGCCTCGATTTGCAGATGGTGTTCCTTTCTTTTGTAATCGAATGTCGCATAGCACCAAGAACTAACGAAGCTATCGCACATCGCGTGGCATTTGCGGGCACTTTCTTTGCAGGTGTTGGCGCTCTACGCAGGTAAAGTACGCATGGGCTGCAAGAGTTTAGGCAGTGTGTGAGTTTTCTGTTTTTGGCAATGTGAGAGCTCAACGATACCTTGCATACTTAAGGAGCACATGACACTGAAACGGTATGGGGTGCTGCCTTCCATATTCTAGATCCCATATGGGATATGGGCGATGAGCTCTTCCAGGGCTCATTTTCGTCCTTCAACAAGGGTTTAGGGACTTGTGAGGGAGGACTGGAGCATTTCTCTGACCTTGAGACGGGAAGTTGCATGCTGTAAACCACCGACTCTCTCCCCCCTCGAACCGACACCCCCTGGGCCCCAAAAACCTGAGGCCCGAAGCCTCGGGCCCTTCTTACACCCAGCTCCCAGGTTTAAGCCCTGGACCCTTAAGCCCTAAGCTCTTAGACCCTAAACCGTCGGAGAAAAAATTCTGTTACACCCTAAACCCTAAACCCTGTAAATCCTTAGCCCCTTGAGCCCTGAATCCCCCAAGCAGGAGGTCATGACGAAGCCCTGCTACCACCGCTTCGTCGAAGCCATGGCCGTCTTCGGGGCATCTGTGCGCCACTTGCAGACCATTTCCGACGGACTCCGGGGTTTGGGGGTTCGGGTTAGGGGTTTCGGGGTTAAGGGTTTAGGGCCGTTTACCGGTGGTAGGGGTTGAGAGTTCAGGGTGTCGTTGTAGCGTGGTAGGCGTGAGGTTTAAGTCTGAGTCTAAGTGCTACCTGAACCCCAAAGAACCTAGGGTCCCATGCTTTTTGAGCTCCTTACTAAGATTTTCTTACAGATGTTCTTAAAATGAAGTGGCTTTGAGCTACAGGAAACAGCTAAAGCCGGTCACCCCGAGCCAGTCTTTCGCATGTCGGTAAGCGTGCTTTCCTGAAAGCTCACCATCCCGGAACAGCTCGACTTAGAGGCTGCCACGACCGTGGCTTAGGGTTTAGGGCTTTCAGGGTGTGACGTTGAGGGTTTCGACACTCACACTCGCACACAGCAGGCAAGGCTCCATAAGGTTTAGGGTAATGTGATCAGGAACCAAAAGCCTGCTTCGAAGGCCGAGCTCTCATCATGCATCCGCGTATTTCGGGAATTTGAAGGAAGGGGTTCCCGAAGCATGTTCCGTTTGGGTAGTTCTCTAAATGAGGGCCCCGTTTTCAGGTCCCCAATACAGTACGGCACCCTTCTGAAAAGGACGCAAAAAAGGGACTCTAATTTAGAGAACTACCCATTTCGTACCACATGCCTGCACAGACACAGCATCCGCATGCATTGGTGGCACCCAAGGATGTCTCCAAGAAATCGGAACAGCTGCTTACCAATGGCATGCGCTCATGATTCAAACAGCGTTCCCGGACTTTAGGTCTCTTGTGTTGACGGGCTTTGGGCAAACAGTGGAGGAGATGCACAAATTTCATGATGCTTGATCATGTTGGTGGCTTAGCTTGTGTTGCAGAACCCCTTGGTCGATCGACTTTAAATATATATATATATATATACATATATATGTTAGGTTTAGATTAAATTGATTAAATCTATTATGCAAATGTAAACCGACACCCCTGAATTACAAAGACTCCTTGAGACCTATTTCTATGATCGTTTTTGCGGCATCCATCAGCTTCAGGTTTTCATTCTACCGCATAAAAAACCAAAAGCGCCAGTCCCAACATCTGGAAAAGCCGAGGCCAGTTCCTCCCGAGGCTACCTTCCGAAGCGCGGCCAAGTAGCGCCTCGGCCAGCAACGGCATATCCAACTAGGGTTTCAGGACATGAGTGCTGTCCTGCGCTGGTCCTGCCTGTCCTTGCGCTATCCCGACGACGACGACGACCAATCACTCCTTTTGCTGCAGCTACTTCTGCTGATGCTGCTGCTGCTACTAGTACTACTACTGCTGCTGCTGCTGCTGCTGCTGCTTCTACTTCTACTACTTCTAACTAATGATGCTACTGCTACTGCTACTACAGCTGTTCCTCTTCTCACCACCTCTACTCCTGGCACCTGCTGCTGCTGGTGTAGGCGTTTCAATATAGCATGACTATGATAAGTACGCACGCGCTCATCAACATGTCATTCTAGATGCTTATGTTGATGCGTGTGGTCACAATGCCCCTAAAGAACCCTGCAGGCGTTGGCCGGGCCGAGCCGGCTGACATTCCGAGCCTCTGGTGCCTGCGGGCTTTTCTCATACCTTGTAGGTTAGGCTAGTTTAATCAGTGTCCTTTAAGGCTTTGGGTTTAGGGATTAGGGGTGCAGACTATACCTTGTAAATTCGTGTAGTTCAGGGTTTGTTGCACAAATCCAGATGCAAAAACAAAGGGTAGTTCAGGGTTTAGGGATGAGGGGTGTAGATCATTTTCCGGCAATAGGGGGTTAGGGGTTCGGGCTTTGTGGCTTTAGGGTCTATGGCTTCAGTAGGATGTTATGGTGTTTCGGGGTTTGGCATGCCGGGTTCTGGTTTTCGGCTTCGGGCTGCGAGGTGCAGGGCGCTTGCGATGCCATACCGTGATGTTAATGTTTCCAGATGTTTTCAGGCTTTCGGAGTTGAGGGTGCAGGGCCAAGTAGGGGATATAGCATGTGTAGTCATTATGAAATGTACTATAGGGCGGAGCTCGTCTATAGTCCCAGTACTGTTGCGTGACAATGTGAGCCCTGAAACTATGTGGGTTTGGAAGAGTGCTATCGGGGGATAGTATGTCACTCTTCGTGCCAGGTTGATGGGTTTGTTTGGCCAGTTTATATTATCGGTGTTCACGTTTCGTGGCCCTAAACCCAAAAGCCTCATGGTTCTGTTTATACCATCCCGCACACTAGGCCCGAAAACCCAGCCCAAGTTGTGAGAGTCGAAACCCCAAGCAAATCCCAGTGGTTCTAACGGTTCAGGAACGGATCCGTTCTTTCGTGTTTGCCCAAACCCAAAAAAACCGTATTTAAAAGTCCAGCAGTACCTCTCCAGCCAAGTCTTATCCCCAACAAGCCGCAGATCGAATCAAAGTACATCTGTGAGGCGCTTGTGCCAGCAGCCGCGGCTAACCCATCGCCGAGTGGGCCACGTCGAACTTCACTTCATGGCATCTTGATACCCTAAGCCCTACACCGCGGGTGGGTTCACGGCTATTGTACTAGGTATCCAGGCTTTGGGCTTCGAGCTCACGGGACCTGGGGTCCACGGGGTAAACCCGAAACCCCGTGGAAGAGCCCTTGAGGCAGCCGATGTGGTGATGCATGAAGGTGAGCTGGAGTTGGATTTGCTCTGGACTGCCACTTCCGACGACAGCTGCATCATGGTTTCCGGCTCCTTCCACAACAGCAACGAGTAGCTGGTCTTGAGGAGCACGCTGGTTTCGTTGAGCGTTTGCCGGGGCTGTATGATCCGTAGTTTCAAGCCTTCTCATTTCGGCTTTTGGCCCTTCTGGTCTTGGCCTTCTTGGCTGTAGATCTCAAGAAGGCCTCATGGCACAACAAATTTCAGTCACAATGGTATCGTTGCCAGTGAGGTCCGGTTTCGGAAGAGTCCAGAAACTGGAGTCTTGTAAACCTTGTAGGGTTCATAGGGTTTAAGGTTCAGGTTAAATCTAAGGTCCTACTACTCCTTCATGCACACGCTTCCACATGCGCATCTGGTCCACTGGGTGTGCGTCTTTGCGCCCATGGGGGAGAAGGAGGTGGGAATGGCAGGGTTCAGACCTCCTCGAGAGTTTCCTAGAGTTTCATAGAGCTAATATAGACTTCACAATTATCACTGCGAGGGTTTCCTAGGAGTTTGCTAGAGCTAATCGATATCGAGACCCGGAGTGTAGACTGCAAAATTTAAGCCTTATAAAGCCTCAGAGTTCCAGATCTAATGCTGTCGTCGACCGAACTATGGGGTTCAATGCAGCCAAAGCCAGGCACCCGCTTCTAATATAGAAGCCTAAATTAAGTACCTATAGTATTCCTTAAGGGTTCTTTACTTAATTATGGTATAATTAATGGGCCCCGAAACCCTATTCTAATCATCCTAAGGCTCAGCAGAGCCCGGGAGACCCCAGTTCTGATCGTATTTCTGGCTGCAAAGGCTCAGCAGAGGGGTGGCCCAAACCAGGGGTGCCGTTTAGTTCCCGAGCAAAAAGGGTGTCGTCTTAAATGTAGAACTGTATAGACTTCTCCAGAAGGACTACATTTTTTGACAGCTGCCCCATATGTGTCCTTTGAGTTTCCGGGAAAGTTTAGGGTGTCGAGCTGCTGAGTGCCGCAGTTGTGCTGTTCTGGATGCGAAATTGTCTAAGATGGGTTCCTGCACATGGCAAGCTCTATTGTAGCATAGGTCCCTACATAAGTAATATGGCACAAGATACCCCCCCAAAAATCCTAGTTTAGCTCTGAAGGCCCCGTTTTGGCAAGAATTGTGGATCCCAGAAACCCTAGATCTTTCAACCCGATGAATCCCGGCAAGGTGTATCACGAATGGACGCCGACTGCAGCAACCTCCTCCTTCTCGGGTGCCTCTTCCGCCGTAAGAGGCTCCAATTCCTTAAAGCGATTCCCCTAGGCCCTAAGCGAAGGGTTTAGGACCCTAGTTGGGGTTTGAGGTGGTTGCGACGGCGATGCAGTAACAACACCATCACACGCACTACCAATAAAACGACAACAGGAGAAGTGGCAAGAAGTCGTCGGGATCGCATCCACAGGAACCCACAGGGGTTATAAGTAAGATAACTATAGTTATATCCCATATTACGGGACTTGTAACCATACTTATAACTACCCATGAACCTCCAAGTATCTCAGAAGTCCGAGAAGTCTGAGGCTTCACCTCCGTCTCCACGTGTCGGATCCCTCCCAGCCTCGCCTCGGGAGCTTTTCGCACGCAGGGGCCTTACTTTCAATCTCCTAAGCGTAACCCTAAAACCCTAAGGCCTTGTCTCGTATAAGTCTTGTAGTGTGGTTTGAAGTTTTGGGGGTTTAGGGCTTAGAGGATACACGTCTTTCCCGGTAGAGTCGCTGCAGACCGGATGCAAAAGGGCTTAGGGGGTTTAACAGGGAATTTGTGTTTGAAATTTGTCGGCTTTCATTGTTCCTGTCTACATAATGTAGGGACTTCAGAAAATTAGACATGAGTTTGGGGTTATGCTGGGTATATCACGGTATGTCTGTATAGGGACTTAAAGGGGAGAGTAGTTCTAATTAGTGAAACCCCCTAAAGATACAGGCGGTTCGGGTGTCAGGGTCGATAGGATGCAGGGCCTGAGAGGGCGTTGGGATCATGCGGGGAAAGAGGGGGCTCAAGCAAAATTTAAAAAAACAACTGAAGCCCAAACCCTAAGTTTCAAGACCCCGACATCCTGAGGTCGAAGATTGGTCAAGCTGAAAGCATCGGGTGGCTCGCTGCACGGAGTTGGCGAGGAAGCAGCACACCCATACCTAGGGCTTAGGGGTTCTTTGTGGCTTTGGGGGGGTTGCGGTTTAGATATAGATCCTCAGCAGATCTAGAGGGCCAAGAAAGGATGGAGGATCAACGACATCAACAGGAAGAATACGTCTAAGATTGCTTGCCAAGCCTTATCAACCTAAACACCCCTAAACCCTGTCTCGAACTTTTGAAATGAAAGCGGGTGTACCTGCAGCATTCGGCTGCGGATTCGGGGGAGGCATCGATTCGCAAGACAGTTCACGTTGTTGTTTGTTCTGGTTCTATTTTATACAGGTTTCTAAAAGGTCTTGATGGGACATATATGGGCTTGTTAGAGGCTCCTCAGAAAATTACAAGCACTGCTTGTTCGCAGTCCCGATGCAGTGCCACTGCAACATACCCCGGAACTTGGGTCTGATACAGTAATTCGAGGGATTAGGGTAGATTCGGTCGATAGTGACTGGGGCTTATAGGGTTTGCAGTACATAGGAGTACGTATGGGGTGGGGTTTAGGGCTTTTTCGGTTTAGGGTTTAGGGTTACAGGATTCAGGGTATGGAGTTCCTATTTCAGAGTGGCACATTCCTCAAACAAGAATGAAACGCTGCTTTCTGAGGCTGCAGCTTGACGGCGGGGAGTGGAAGCCAGAACCACTCCGCTTGTGCCTTCGAGAATTTTTGGGCAGGGGGTTGTCTTGAAGTTTAGGGCTTAGGGTCACTGAGATCTATACATGCTGGACTTCGGTTGGGCGCTACGGTCACACGTGTTTCGAACATCAGCAAGTACGGAAGTTGAGTACGGGTCAGCAACACCTGGCTTTCTGAATGCATTCGGAACAGACTCATCAGGTACTGAGTGGGCTACATAGGCCGAAACAGTTGATGATTCGGTGAATGAGCCTGTAAACCGTAGCTCGACGGAAAATAGGTGGGGTGGGCCCAGAACAGCCCCAAACGGGTCGTTTTGGCACCCTGCACCACCAAACCCTCAACTAATCTCCGAAAGATTATTAAAGCATGATTTCTTATTTTTCTAAGGGCGCGTTAAGAAACCGCGACATCCAGACACAAGCGACCTTAAGGGAGTCCGAGAAAGCTGCACGCTGTTTCTTTACTGTGGTGAGCTGTTCGGAGAATGCTCCCTCCGGACACACGCATTGGCCTCAACACAGGTTCAGTCAAAGGGCTGCTGCAGCAGTTGATTATTCTCGCCCCAGGTCCCAGCTCTAGCATGTACCACAAATCGGACTGCGCCCGTTGCTTGCTGATGCCCTAAACCCTGAACCCTAAACTCCTAAACCCTAAGATGGCTGTTCTGCTTGTCGCTGCCGTTCCGAAGGTGCCCATTGCCACGGAGGCCTGGCGGGAGATGGTGAATGACAACCCGTGGAATCCTTCAGTTTAGGGTTTAGGGTTTAGGGGTTTAGGGTATTTTAAAGGCAGTCTGCAGCACTCTGTGAAGCTTTCATGACTGAAACCTATTCCTGGTACGTGGAAGGTTCGGCTCGGTTTCGTTGAGGGCTGGTCTTCGAATCCCTTGGCCCCACAAGCACGAAATGTAAGCATGAACTGCAGAAGCAAGGTAAGCTCCAAGCCTTACATCAAGCCCTATAAACCCAAACGTCTTACAGCCGCAAGCGCCCAGCTTGAGGGTTTCAGGAGTGCTGGGTTCTGTTCTTAAGGAGGAGACTTTTGACTTGATGAGGCCGCAGCGGCGGCGTTTGTCTGCGTGCACCTCAACGCCTCGTGCCGAAGGGAGTGCTTTGGGGTTAATGGCGTCTAGGGAGTCTAGGGCTTAGGTTTGGGGGTTTAGGGCAAGTACCTAAAAAATCATAGATGTACTAAGTCACTAAGCCACAATACCACAACCAGTAGCGTCTACAACCCATGTACCTCTCGATGGGGTCTATGGGTAGGTTGAAAGTTGTACTTTGTGATGCTGGGCACCCATCACCCGCACAAGGAGCCACTCTCTTCTTGCCGCGAGTGGCCAAGGATGCACGATGCAGACTACATCCACTCCATCCTGCCCCATGCAGCGACTTGGCTGCCGATGTGCTTTCCCGGCCGAAGAGCAGATTTGTGCTCAGCTTCTAGGGCGAAGCTTTCTAAAAATGGGGTCTTAGAAGGCTGCGAGAGGTCTTGCGGTTTGGTTAGGTTTGGGATGCAGGCTATTGAGATGCATGCTCGTCCGTCCATGTGGCTTGAGGGACATGTACGGCCCAACCCGGCCCCTTGCAGCTACTATGCCCTGAAGTTCGCAATGACGACAACCCCCACTCCTCAAGCCCAAAATGAAAGTGTCGTACCCAGCTCCGTTTCGACAGAACGTGATATCGCTACACGGTAAAGCTGAATCCTAACCCTTGCTCGTTAAACCTGAGGCATTGCCCAACGTAGACCGGTCTGAATGATTGGTAACAGCACTCACTTGTTGTAGTCCGTAGACCAGCTACAGTATAACATGCACCACAACCCTTTGAAAGGTCGTGTTGTAGGGCTTTCTGCAGCCGGCGGGCTCAGTGCGGCTGCAGCCTGCTCCGATTGGAATTCCGATGTTCAGTCAGTGGCCAGGGAAGTTGGCACAGGATGCAGGGAGCTCGGGTCTCGAAATTCAAAAGGGCCGGGAAAGGCTGCAGCAGCAGTAAACTGCTTGCAGCACTGCTCTGTGGACTCTTTTTCCGGATGCTGCTGACGAATGCCTGCTTCGTACACCGGCCGGTCTTCAGAGAGCAGATGCCACCAAGGACCTTCGAGCGCCAGGATTCGAGGTGTCAGCAGAAGACCCAAAAGCTGCCTCCGACAGCTCTTGTCTGCTTTGGACTGCAGCACTTGATTCGAAGTGTGTCGGAGGACGCGACGTCGTGCAGCTGCGCGATCGGACGAAAGCAACCCGGCATCGTGAAACTTGAGGGTGAAGCTTAGAGGCCTTTCTCGGTTGCCTCTTGGGTGCGGAATGATTGAAAGGTTCCCAGCCCCACCATGCGCCATCTGGATCTGGGCTTCATTGATCTCTGCACCAGATCCATCTGTGAATTCCAAGCCCATGAACCGAAGTAAAGTAATTCATTGGTTGACGGCTCGGGCACATACGGTTGCATCAGGGTACATGTGCCTAAACAGATAGATAACATTTTAAGACCCGCTTATTTGATAAGACCCTCCTCTCTCTCTCTCTCTGTATACGTACATATGTATATATGCATATACATGAATTTATGTCTGTCTCTATGTATGTATGAATGTATGGTGCATGTGTGTAATACAATGCAATGGCGTGCAACTCAATGCAGTGAACTGGACTGGACAGTGTACTGGCATGCAATTGAACAGAATGTAATGATATGTATGTAGTGTAAGGTAGTGTGGTGTAATGCAATGTGATGGGGTAATTAGGCAGGTAGTCAGGAAGGTAGGCAGGGTCTCCGGTATAGGGTAAGTAGGGTAGGGTAGGGAGGTAGGGAGGAAGTAAGAAACGTAGCGCAATTCAAGACATGTGTACTGCAGTAGACTGCAGCAACAGTTCATCGTACTGTATTGTACTGCATTGTGCTGTATTGAGCCTCATCGTACTGAGCAATATGGCACTGTGCTCTTTTCCGTTGTGTTGCAATGTATTGTATTGCCTTGCATTGTAACGCGTGTTGCATTCTAGTGCATTGTGTTTGCATATGTCCGTTCGGATGTGTATATGCATACCAAGTACTCCCTTTTTGTAAGCAGGCTTCCGAGCTTGAAGTTTGGGCAACGGCAGCAGAGGTTGCGACGCGGCTTTCATGGAAAGGCTCCGTGGCCTGGCCCGCGAGGTGCCGCCGCGCAGCTGTTTGAGTTTGAACATACTACGTCACTACGTTTGTTCTACTCCTGCCATGATAACATCATGATACTGAGCAGACTGGGAATACTGCTGTAGACATCGCAAGCAAGGACTACGACTGCTATCTATTGCCTGGCAAATTGATGTTCATCTTGCTACTCAGTTGTATTATCACAGGCATGATTCCTCCCGGCAGCACGGGAGCTTACGAACGGCAGTGTGTGGCCAACTGCACAGCCTGTGCTGGGGATGAGAGCTTCAGCTCGGCTGTGATTCCAAGTTTGAATTGACGGCGTGTTCTGACTTGACTGCTGTATAGGACAATTGAAACGATGGGCTGATTTCGGCGCCAACCACAACTCGCAGGCTTTGGCGTGGCCGTTCCTCCAGGATGAGCAGCGACTGGTCTGGGCTGCGGTGCTTGAGTTCGATGCCGTGCCTACACAGGAGCGCTAAGGGGCAGTGTGAAACTTCAAGAGGATTGGGTCTTCCTTCGGAAGTCGAAGCCGTAGCTTCGAAAAAATGAAGCTCTGACAGATTGCATGTCCACTTTGGCACAGAAGGAGTTGCCTCCCTGGTTCTTCGAGCGGCACAACTTGACGCGTCGGCACCTAGGCCTGGGGTATTGTAAAGAAAGCACAGACGAGCTCCATCTCTGAAGTTGAACCCCTGCATACCATGTTTAAGGGTGCATATAGGATTGGGATGTTGTTTCGCAGCTGCTCCTCCCAGCTTGACAGAAGGAGTGGACCTCTTTGGCTTGGACGGGCGGCTTGCGATTCTTTGTCGGGCTGGGAATGCCACCCACCAGGATGTGAAGCGATTCCTGCGAACAGCCCACTGTGTGTTGGAGGCGTCTGACGACTGCACCGAGTTTAGGCCCTAAGTAAAGTCTTCAAACTGGATGGCCGGCCTTCATGTCCAATGTGCAGGCTCCCCAATGCACACTCTGGACCCTCTGCGACTGCAATGTCTCTGCTGACTCCCACAAGTGGCTCGACCGGTACGGCGGCCGGCAGAAGATCCTCACGGAGAAGAGCTGGCTGCGGCAGGGTGCTTCTTCAGGTGAGGTTCCTACTAGTCCTAGTAGCAGCCAGGCGTCGGACCCGCCACTGCGGGAGTGCCAGGAGGCCTGTTTGGAGGCATGCGCCAAGGGAGCCCGGGTCATCGAGATGGCCTGCGGCACCGGGAAGACGCGCGTGATCCGAGAGCTGGCAGCCAAGCAAGGCGGGAAGGCGGCCAGACAGCACTGATGCTCATGTGTTGTGATGTGTTTGTTTTTTGTGCTAGGGAGTAAATCGTGGCTCACAAGATATCTTCCAGCTGTCCCCTGAGGTTTTGGTCATGGTTCCTTCACGTATGCTCCTGGAGCAGTTCGCCGAGGAGATGCCGAACTTCTGCAAAGTGGGCGCAGGCTACAACAAGAAGATTGACTTCGAATCAAGAGGTTTTATTTCAGTGACTGACTCGGTGCAGCCTTTGAAAAACCTGAAGTTCGAGGCCGCATTTGTCGATGAAGGACATCACCCTTTGCCACCAGAAATGCCGAGCTGCAAAGATCTTTTCAAGTTCTCGGCCACCCAGAAGGAGGAGGTAGATTTTCGGTACAGTTTGGGCGAAGCGATCGAGCAGGGCGTGCTTTCTGACTACGACCTCACCGTACCCGTGACGACCGAAGGCCACCTCTATATCTGCCTTGCGAACCTGCTTCTGACACAGGCTGGGCGCTTCCGGCGGGTTCTTGCATATTGCAACTCCGTGAAAGAAGCCAAGCGATTCCAACAGGTGTTGGACACCGTCGGTTTGGCGGCATGGCATATCAATAGCAACACAAATCGCAAGCAGCGAGAGAGTGTGATGGAGGAATTTTCGGGGGAGCTGCAGAAGCCCGTGCATGTGCTGGTTACGGTGCAGGTCTTGGGCGAGGGCATCAACATTCCCAATGCCGACACCTGCATGTTCGTGGAGCCACGTGATAGCTATGTGAGCATCATTCAAGCAATCGGTCGGGTGCTGCGACCTCATCCGTCGAAGCCTATGGCTCACATCGTGTTGCCTGCGATTGCAATGCCTGCGACGTCGAGGAGTGCTGCAATGGCTCCGCCTGGTTTGAGCGATTTAGCAGCAGGTGCCCAGTCTATAGCCAGAACGACGGGCTCGGTGGAGCAAGTCCAGTCCTCGCAATCAGAGCTGGATCAGGGCAGTGTGCATGCACGGGTTCACACCTCTTTGGCTGCCAAAGCTAGGAGCGGCAGCAAAAACTTCTGTGGCCCTGAGCTGACCGCCCAAACAGAGGAAACTTCAAGGCAAGCTGGCAGTGATAGGGTGCCCAAGGTGCAACAAAACGAGCCTGCGCAGAACGATCATTTGCCGAGTGGCGGCAGGCTCCAGGCAGCCGCGCTCTACACGGAGGCAGCTCAACGGGCTGTAGGCGGCAACGCTAGAGCACCGAGGCCGTGTGATTCCAGGTCCCGGAGTAGAACTTCAATGACTTGCGACCGCCACCGTGCTGAGTTTGGACCCCGCTCCCTGCCAGCACCTGCAATTCCAATGATGCACGAGGTTGCCCCTGTTGTGCCTATGCGCGGCACTTCGGAGGACGCGCCCTTTGCGATGCCAGCGTCTGTTGCAAACACGGCCGCAGGCAGCAGAAGTTCCCGGTTGGGGACGAGTGCAAACGACCACCACGACGCAGAGCGTGCCCGACGCCAATCCTCGTTACCGCAGCAAAGATTGGACAGCTTGCCAGGGGCATCTACAGGACTGACACCTGCCAGCACGACCGCCGTACAAGCAGCGGCGCTTGCGGCCTGCAAGCGGGTGGGTGCCTGCGGTACCGGCAATATGAAGAAGCAGTCGACGGCTTCACGGGATGCAGCACAGGGCATGTTTGGAGCCCAAAGACCACGTGCCCCTGCGCAGGACAACCGGATAGACAGCAGTGCAGGGCCTCCGTCTGCAGTGCTCCGTGATTGTCGCAAAGATCCTACTGGGCTGAAGGCAGCAGGTAGTCAAGGTGACGATGACGATGGTGCAGAGTCAGGGTTGAGTGGTCCCACGTCCCAGAGCCCAGCTTCGATGACAGACGGCCGGCGGGGAATTGAGCTCCATGACGGGCGCACAAACGGTGAAATGACTGCGTTTCAAACTCATCCCGCAAGTCCTTCAAGGCAGCTGCGTGCGGCAACTAGTGCCTTGGAGGCTGCGCCTGGCGCCAAGCCAGCCCAAGTGGTGCCTCGACATCACCGCATCCGTCCGGGACCTTCCATGGAATCCAAAGAGAACCTGAGAAGTTTGACGCACGGCCGGGCCTCCAAACTGAAGGTAAAAACGGCTGGTAACACTCGCCTGTTTGGGGGTGGCCATGCTGACCAGCTGGACAGGTTTTTGCAGGCGATATCTCAGGCGGATAGCCGGCTGGTTGAGAAGGACATCAGACAATTGCAGTGTCGTCTTTGGGTGATGGACAGCAGGCTGCAGCCAAACATGCCGCAGCTACTTGCTCGTGATGTAGTCTACCAGCTGGCTTTGGTCCTGCAGCGGCGGGATGCATGGGATCTGCGCCTGCATGCGGTCGAGAAGTTCGAGCAAGAGCATGGAAGGCTGCCGAGGCAACTAAGCAACCAGCTTGAGGAGTCAACCTTGGGAACGTGGGTGCACAACATTGGCTACAGGTTGAAGCGTCAGATGCTCTCAGCGGAAAGGGTGCAGAAGCTGTTAAATTCGTCATGCAGCAGGTTGCGGGGCCGAGCTGTAAAGTGGCTGGAATCAGATGCAGATGCGTCTTTTCACCGACGGTTGGAGGAGTTGCGGCTGTTCGTTGATGCACATCGCCGCATGCCCCGCAGAGGCAAAGAGGGAGGGATTCTCAACAGCTTGATGCGAGGATTGAGACCTGCCAACCTGAAGCGAGAGAAGCGGCTCCGGCTTTTGGAGAACATCGACCCCATCGTTGCGGACTGGGTGAAGTCCAGACACAGACAGAAGATCCAAGTTGATGCTGCCAAATTTGGGAGACAGCTTGACCGCCTGGTTGACTTCGTGCGGATCAACGAGAGGCTCCCACAATCAAGGTTTGGTGAGTTGGATATCTATGGGTGGCTGTGCATACAGCGGAGGCAACTGCATCACCTCCCGGCCGAGCTCCAGGCAAAGCTCTTCGATGCCCATCCAGCGATTGCAGCTTTCTTGAGGAGCTAAGTTGTGCAAAGACGTCACGTTGTCCCGTTGCTAGCTTCAGGACAGTGCTGATGATGCACCTGAATCAAAAGACCGCCAGCTTCGAGTCCGATAGCGAAATAGTATTGGAAAGTGCCGCACCAAGGGACTACATTAACCTGCTGTTGCACCAGCGTCAGACAGTGGTTGCACGGTGCTTCAGTCCCTTGTGCTCTCCGGGCCTGAGCAGAAGCTGCAGTGGCCGGCATACGCAACAGGAGCGATACACCTGCTGCAGCATTTTATTGGGTCGATGCTACATATATGCAGATTTTTCCAACAACAAAGAATGATTGCGTAAACGAGGCATAAGCAGACAAAGACATGTCCATAACATGGCATTTGTTTGGTTTGTTTTGCAGACAGATTTGTCGTGTGTTAGATGGGTAGCACATTTTTGCAGTCGTTATTCTCATGTTGAATGGTTTGGCTTGGCTTTGCGTGGTTTGTTTGGCTTGGCCTGTTCGGAGAACCGCTGAACCCGAAAGCCCGCAAGAAAATAAAGCGAACCAAATCAGGAACTCAGGAAAGAGGAAAGCTGATAAGTAAGCCAGGGAGTGCATCATACATCCATATATGTTACATACTTACAGTCTACAGCCCAATGCACTATTCCAATAATCACAATAGTCAAGGCCCCTGATTTGACTTTTGCCATGGGGAAGTTCCGCGTCTCCAAGAAAGGGGACAACCCGTTTGCGCTCCCGAAGCGGAAAGTGCCGAAGAAGCAGCTTCCCGGCGAGTCTGAGGCAGTTTGCAGGGCTGAGAAGGGCTTACAGGGGTCTGGCCTTCGCAGGGTTCAGGGTGCAGAGTTCAGGATGTACATGAGATGAGGGTCAAGGGTTTCAGAGCGACTGGAGGGTCTCTGGTGTTATAGCGGCTACAAGCCTTTGATTGTTCGTTGCAAGGTGGTTCCCTGAACCCTGGGCCCCAGTGCTGACCGTACCTGTGTGGTGGCTCAGAGCCCCAACATTTAGAGGAAAAAACACCAAAAGGGTAGGGTTGCTGATCCAGAACCCCATAATCATAAGTCTAGTGTACACTAACAACCACTACAATCGTAGGGCGTTTGAGCTCCATGTATACCCCTCTAAAGTCAAACTCGTGTTGGGAAAGCGGAATGTCCACAACTGAGACCTCGCGCCGCAGGGTTTCATCGCAGTATTTCTAGAACTATTCTCCTAGCATCTACTGGCATATAGGGGCCTGAATAAGTGCCATAATTCCAATAGTATCCCTTCGGATTCCCAAATATATAAACTGTAGTACTTAGTATGGTTATATTATGACACACCCACAATACCCAATTGAGAATTTCTACGGCCCCTGTATGCTTTTATGTTTGTATATCCTCAGTCCAGAGCTAGCGCCTTCCCCACCCACTCCACAGCCTCACGAAACTTGGGCGGAGGCCAACCGTCGCAAGAAGGAGGACGCCAGACAAAAGGAGGCCGAGGCAGCCTGCGAGAGAGAGAGAGAGAGATAGCGAAAAAAAATAGGGGGACTAACATGCCCCTCAAACCCGAAGGAAGAAGACGAGCGAGAGAGAGAGAGAGAGAGAGAGAGAGAGAGAGAGAGAGAGCGAGAGAGAGAGAGACAGAAAGAGCCGGTTGATGCTTTCTTGAGGCTCGTCGTCTCATGGTCCACCTCCCACCGCAGAATCGAGCCATAATTCGCTCGGGCTGATAAGCCCTGCAAGCGTCAGCTTGCTCTTGTCTGTGTCCCCCTAAACCACGAAACTCGCAAAGCAGCTAACCCCGAAACCCGAAACCCTAAACCTTCTTCTTGTTGCCGCCCACTGAGGCAAAAGCTGCCAGAGAGAAGCGCAAGGCCGAGGAGGCCGCGCGACCACCCGGCAAGAAGCTCGGGCCCTTCTTGGCAAGAGGTTTTGCTATGTTTTGCTCTCTTGCATCGGCAGGGTTTAGGGTTTAGGGTCTACAGAAACCCGAAGTCCGAAACCCTAAACCCCTGACCTGTATAAGCAGTCGGAGTGAGCAGCAGGCTCGTCACATGTACCCCCTGGAGTCTTATCCCTAAGCCCTGAACATGTTAAGCATAGCACAGACTATGCCATAAGCCGTAACCCTAAAAGAACCCCGAACCCCAGAAGTTTAGGTATGCTGTAAACACTGAACCCCCGACTTCGCCTTTGCATGACAACTGAGGAAGACCTTGAAACGATGCTGGGCTTGGATATGTCGGGGGGGAGGGAAAAGGGGTCGGGAAGGGGATTGGGTTTATATCGTATAGAAATGCGGGGCTCCGGGAGTGCGATTAGGCGACAGCTATGATACCTCCAATCCACACTTCTTCAAGCTTTTGTACTTTGACCTCGATCCTCAACCCCCAAACCTTGCTCTATAGAACCTCGAAGCCCAGGAAAAGCACGCCTGGAGAAGATGGTACAAGAGGGGAAGGTCACCAAGACGGACCAAGATGTACCTGGTCGAGCATTGGGGATGAATATTTGAAGGTCTATCTTAGAAAGCTTGAAGTTGGCGCTTTAGTTTGGCTGAGGCTTTCTGTCGGGGGCTTGGAAACGTTGGACATCTACTGCATTGGCCATAGCCCTAAACCCTTCCAAACGAGACTTATCTTTAAACCACCAAGCCAATTCGGTTTTGGTGGGAGTAGACCCCGAAGCCCTATCGCAAGCATGAAGGCCCCTCCACAGGCCCAAGTGGCCCTAAACGGCCCCAGGTCGAAGAGCTCTTGCAGTGCAAGGACGAAGTTGTCTGCGCCCTGGCGGACGTGCAAGACGAGGCGGGAATCTATAGAAGCCCTTCACCCTAAACTCCCAAACCCCTAAACTCCTAAACCCCTGAACCCCTAAACTCCTAAACCCCTGAACCTCTAAACTCCAAAACCTCAGAACCCCTCAACTCCTAAACCCTCAACCCCTATAAACCTTGTTCCTGAGAGCTCCCCTTGTTTGGTGTGAGTATACTGACGAGGCCGAGCTGCGCAAGAAGTTCGGGCCTTCTCAAGGGACCTCCGGTCGCCTGGTCCTCTTTGAGGCTTTGAGGTTTAGAGGTTCAGGGTTTTGAGCTTTGGGTGTGGGGGTTTAGGGGTTTAGGGGTTTGTTTGTAGGAGTTTATCGGTTTGGGTTTAGGGGTTAAGGGTTTTTGGTAGCAGTTCAGGGCATTGGGGTTTATGGTGTAGGGATTGTGACTATCCTCCTTTGTAAGTTTTAGCAGCTTAGCGGAGTAGTGTAGTCGTATAGTACAGAATGTCCTTTTCGTATAGTCATGTATAGTTTAGTTTTCATAAGAAGAGCAAGAATGATAGTGTCAAAGTGGCCGCCATGAAGAGCCGAGGCTATGGCAAGGAGTTCTTTGAAGCCTCTTGCTATCGCTTCCGGTATATGCAGGCAAAGGACGGTACCCCTGTGGCGCAGATCTACAAGTGGCCCTGGCCTTGAAGATTTTCATAAGCCGCTGCAGACCGTTTCACACCCCGACAGTGCAACTTGCGCAGCGCAACAAGAAGGACTGATCCAGAGGATGTGTTTCAGGGTTTGCATGCAACCACCCAGGGCTGCTTTGAAAAAGTGTGGAGGCTCGAGGTTGCACATGTCCGCAGCTTGCAGGCTCAGAGGGGCTCGCCCAGGGAAGCACACCATAGAATTAGGCATCCGACGAAGGGTCCTCGGATTCACCTGGCATCTCTGGAAATGCGCAGACTGCAAGCTCCTAAGCTTCAGAGACGTGGAAGATGCAGCAGACGAGTTGCTGTGGCCCTGCTGCTTTGTGGGCTTGGACTTGGGACACTTTGGGCCGCGGCTGCTTTCACAGATCCTGTATATTCTGGCCGGCAGAAAGTGATGAGGACTGCGATGCACCCAGGCTTCGTCTTGGCTCGTGGACACAAGGGCTTGTAGGTCCTTCAGGCTCCAGGGCCCATAATCGTACTACCTGATCCGATGTCACGACATCTCTCACTTCGGGTATCTCTCTTTCTTCGCGTTAGTCCGGCCTGTCATCTGAATTGAGGGACTTGACTAGAGGCGATTTCAACAGCAGTTTATCTTCAGATCTAGCTGTCTGGCTTCTCTTCTGCTGCCGCGGCCCTTGGAGGACGAGGCATCGTGCGGCTGTGCAGGCAAAAAGGGAGGAGCTCGAAGCCGGTGCCGAGGAGATGAGCAGCTCGACTTGCTACAGCTGAGGCTTCAGCCCTCGACCCTGTTTGGAAGCCTCCGAAATGTCACACGCTGAGGCCGATATACCAATCGTTGCACATCTACACCCCGACTTGAGGGTTTCTATCATGGGTAGTTCTCTAAAGTAGAGTCCCAGTTTAGATCCTCAATATAGTACGGCACCCGTATAAAAATGAAAGCTATACCCTCATGATGCAAGATTGGTTGACAAGGGGTGATATGCAGACCACTTCCGAGCACTTGAGAGCATCGCTTCACAGCAGGTTGCATTCGAGTCGTTGGGTGCTTCTCAGCTGCCGGACTCAGGCTGGCATACTGCATGTAAGTCTATGACTTGAGATCTGCCGTGAGAGCATTAGGTCCAACAAAATAATGCAATTTTGAGAATCTGCCGGCAATTAGGCCCCCCCAATGAGTCAGCTCATCGCAGTCTCTGGTCTTCCGGTGTTTCTTGTCCGGAAAGGGCCGGGCCTCACTTCTGGTAGCCCGGTAGGTGCCCATGCCTCTCCCAGCCAGCCCGAAGTCTTCAAGCAGATTTCGAGAGTACACCTAGGACAGCCTAATGACGCGATCGAGCCTGCTTTGCCCAAGGCTCTGACGCGGCTTTCATGGAACGAATGCGCAGCCTGGCGCAGGAGGCGCTCCCTGAATTTGTTTGGAGATTGGGAAAGAAATTCGGATGGGTTTAGGCGGTTCAGGTGATGAAGATTCCAGGCTTTGCACGCACCGATTTTTGGATGCATCCTTCTCAAACCCTAAACCATCAGGCCCGCGCCTGCTCCCCCACGAAGGTAACAAGTTATTTTGTGTCGCGCCAGGTCCCTGCCTCCTAGCGTCTTACAGGGCTGTTTGCTAATAACATGCTTCCCATCCGTTTCCAGGCTCTCTCTTGGCCCTTCCTCGACGAACGGCAGCGGCTGGTTTGGGCAGCGGTTCTGGAGTTCGACGCCGTGCCTGCCCAGGATGCGGGCACTTGAAACCTAGTCTTACATAAGCTTTGTGGATAAATGGAAGCAGCTTGCAGAATCTGCCGCCTTGGTTCTACGCACGACAGAATATCACCCGCCGGCACCTAGGCCTGGATGGCCAAGATCTCCACAAAACTGTTGCGGCCAAGCGAACTTCCGTTCATCCCTAGCAGGTGTGGATCTCTTCAGCCTGGACGGAAAGCGGGCGGTCCTATGTCGGGCAGGGAATGCCACCCATAAGGATGTCAGGAGGTTTCTGCGAACAGCTAAATGTGTCAACGAGGCGGGCAAGACTCCAAAAAACGATCGGTGCTTTTTAAGACTGTGAATGGAGTCCCAAGGCCAGAGCAGCGCCTGCTTAGTCAAGGCTCATCTTTTAGCTTGCAGGCTGCTCAGTGCACTGTGGACGTTCCGCGGCTGCAAGATCACCAGTGACTCCCAGAAGTGGCTGCAGAAGTACGGCGGCCAGCACCAGATACTCACCAAGAAGTACTTGCGCAAGCTCCAGCGGGGTGCAGATGCAGCATCCGATCAGCTTTCATCCGCCTCGGAACCACCACTGTGGCCCTGCCAGAAGGCCTGCCTGGAGGCATGTGCCAAGGGAGCCCGGGTCATCGAGATGGCTTGTGGCACCGGGAAGACACGCGTCATCCGTGAGCTGGCAATGAGGCCGAGGGGGAAGGCAGGATTGTTTGGCAGTGCTCGGGGCTGGCAAGAATTTGCAGTGCTCGGGATAGCATGCGAACATGTCACTCCATGTTTTTTTTCTAAATGTTTGCCTCTTTCAGATCCAGGTCTTGGTCACCGTTCCAACCCGAGTGCTGCTGGAACAACTCGCACAGGAAATGCCTGGCCTTTGCAAGGTCGGTACAGGCTACAACGGCAAGATTGACATGACATCAGACGGTTTCATCTCCGTGACTGATTCCGTGCATCTGTTGCAGAAGCTCGAGTTCGAGGCCATTTACGTCGATGAGGCCCACCACCCTTTGCCCAAAGGATTGCCAAGATGCAACGACATCTTCAAGTTTTCGGCAACGCATAAAGAACAAGTTGATTTTGGTTACAGCCTGGGTGAGGCGATCCAGCAAGGGGTGCTGTGCGACTACGACCTCACCGTACCTGTGACGACCGAAGGTCATCCCTATGTTTGCCTTGCGAGTTTGCTGCTTTCGCAGGCTGGGCGATTTCGGCGGGTGCTCGCCTACTGCAACTCCATCGCAGAAGCCAAACGATTCCGGCAGGTGTTGGAGACACTTGGGTTGGCAGCGTGGCACATCAATGGCAAGACAAATCGCACTCAGCGCGAGAGGGTGATGGAGGAATTTTCGGGGGAGCTGCAGAAGCCCATGCATGTGCTGGTAACGGTTCAACTCCTAGGCGAGGGTGTGAACATCCCGAACGCCGAGACATGCATGTTTGTGGAGCCAAAAAGCAGCTACGTGAGCATTATACAAGCCATCGGCCGGGTGCTGCGGCCTCATCCATCGAAGCCTATGGCTCACGTCGTGCTACCTGCGATTGCAACTCCTGCCATGCCGGAGAGTGCTCCCTTTGCAGCGAGTGATCCGGTAACAGGTGCCGCGTCCGCGACCGCAAAGTCCATGTGTGTGGAGGATGATGTCCAGGACCAGGAAGCACTGCTGGACGAGTTGGGCGAGTTGCGAGTGAAGGCGGCTGGTGAAAAGGCTGGGAATGGCAGCAAGAGCACCTTCCCTGCTAAGTGCACGCGGGCCGGCTGTGACCAGCAGTTGCCCAACAAGCCAAGGGAAAGTTCGAGACGTTTTCAAGCAGAGGGCAGCGATGGGATGCAAAAAAGAAGGCAAAGTGATCTTGCACCGATCGAGATTCTTGACACTGGGAGAAGGGGCCCGTCTGCCGGCCGGGATTGCTCTATGGAATCGTCTTTGCCAGCCACGCCGGCAAAGCTGCAACTCAAGCACAGCATCGGAAAGGCGGAACCATGCCGCAGCTCCCACATGGAGACGCTCGGCGGTGAGCCAAGTGCCGAGTTCCACCGCTGCTGGCGGAAACAAGGCTCTCCGGGAGAGCCCGCCCCCCTCACAACAGTTTTGAGCGAAGACGCACCCGTTCTGGTCTCGGGGGGCTCTGCAGAGAGTCCGTCTGCTGATGGAAATACTGCTAAGTCTGGCATCAGCTCCAGCATCTCGACATCTTCAAGACCATGCCATCAAGATGAAGGCGACCTGGCAAAAGCGCGGTTTCAGCATGTTAAGTATCCAGCAGATGCGCACCTGTTGCTGAGCCAGAGAGCATATTTGGGACCTTCAACGAGGAAGTCAACTGCGGACGGGAAAATGATGACACCCAAGCTCAAAACAAAGGCGTTTGGTTATGGCAATGTCGGGAGTGCAAAGGCCGACCAGCTTGACAGATTTTTGGAGGCGATAGCAAAGGCAGACAGCAGGTTTGTCAAGGCAGATTTCCAGCATACGCAGTCTCGTCTGTGGGTGACGGACTGCGGACTGAAGCAGCCCGTATTGCAGCAGCTTCTAGTTCGCAATGTGCAATATCAGCTGTCTATGATCCTGCAGCAGCGTGATCCGTGGGAACTGCGATTGCGAGCAGTCGAAACGTTTGATCGAGCTCATGGCAGACTTCCACGAGAAGTCAGCGCTCTGTTCGGAGAGAGAACTTTGGGACTGTGGCTGCAGCAAACCGGCGTTCAGGTCCGGAGGCAGTTGATCCCGACGCCGAGGATGCAGAAGCTCTTGAACTCGTCGTGTCAAAGGTTGCAGGCGCGCGTTGCGAAGTGGCTCGATCCCGACACAGCCTTTGAGCGAAGCTTGAAGGATCTGCGGAAGTTCGTAGAGCTTCACCAGCGCATGCCTAGAAGAACCAAATTGAGCTCGAAGGCCGAATGCAGATTGGCCAACTATATGGAGTCGTTTGTGCGTCCAGAAATCAATCGCAGGGAAGAGCGCCTCCACCTGTTGGAAATGCAGGGCCCCATCATTGCAGAGTGGGCCAAGTCAAAGCGATCGAAAAAGAGTCAGTTCAAGCATGCAAGATGGAAGATGCGGCTGGACGTGTTAATTGAGCATCTGACCACGACAGGTAGTACGTCGCGATCTCTTGAAATGACTCTAGCTGCAGACCAGCGGCTTCGTGAGTGGTTGTACAAACAGCGCAGACAATGGGATAGTCTTCCCTTGGAGCTCAGAGCGGAGCTCTTGGACTCGCACCCGGAAGTCGCATCTTTCCTGCGGAACTGAACCGTGCCATCGGCGAGGACTGCATGCCATTGGCGAAAATCGGAGTCGTCCGGGCGTTTGAAGAAGATGCTAGCTGCTGGCATGTCCGTGGCTTTAGCTCAGCGCGTGTCTCTGTTTAAGTTTGCTGTTGATGGCAGTTGTTGCAAAACGGTGCTGAGCAGTTCGTTACATGGCAGTACGTAGCCTCCGACGTTGCCATCGGCCGTCGTCGCCAGGCATGTTCTTAGACAAGTATGCGGCGTTGCACCGGCAGACATGCGTAGCTGATCCTCGGACCAACTACAAAGAGTCATTCGGCCCTCATAGATGCAGAGGAAGTACAATCGACCCTGTGCGCATGCCCGGTTAGGCCCAGCTCTCACGGTGCACCCTCATTAGGGTTTGAGGGTTTCGGGTGTTTCATTCTCAAGTAGGATGCCCAAGATGGCTTTGGGAGCATCGTAGATTGGAAGATCTGGGCCAGGATTTGTTTAGGTTTTGCGGACTACGGTCTACGGCTTATGTAAGTAGGGCATTCTGACTGCATGAGCTCTAGAAGGGTTAAAAACAGTCAGGTGGAGGATTGGATTAACTACCACTTGGCCATTGGCATCGAGCACTTCACGGCCCCTCATCATGATTGGAGCCAGGGGCTCATGCTCCGCACGAAAGCTTGCAGGTCTCAGAAAAATTGCATAGACCCACGAAGGGGTTTCGGCGTGAGCTTGCGCTGTGGGCGTAAAGGGTCGGACTTTTGGTAAAGGCATATTTCCATTGGCTCAAGGCCCAGCTTCGGGCTCTAAGCCTTCATTATTTGGTGTCCGGAACGCGAGTTTCACAGCAGACAGAGTGAGCCTTTCAGTTTGAGCCCGAAGCCCGGAACCTGGTGAATCAGTTTCGGTCTCACTGTTTGTGCTGCTGCTGCTGCTGCTGCTGATTATTAGAGTAGAAAGGGCCGATATGTTTCCAGCCTAGAAACACCAAACTCCGAAACTGAAACTTCGATCCCATTCTCCCATGCAGCAGTTCTTGAGGTTTTCGACACGGATGGGCCGCTTGACTGCACGGGTACTTGTAGTATTTTGAACTGTAGACTGTAGAGTTCTTTGGGTACCCGTACTAGGGCGCCCTTCCTTCAAGGGCCCCCCTATGACATGCATGTACAGATATACAATCAAAGACAAAAAACTGAGGTAGAACCGTGGCGGCACATTTCTCCCCCATCAAGGAACCACTTTTGCCAAACCTTTTTCCCTCGGCATACTATAAACAGGGATCGGAAAGAACAGTAATACTATTTCCTATGGGTCTGTAGTATAACTCTATACCAGACTACACCTCCCAAAAAGCATCAATCTAATCACGAAAGTCACTAAAGCCCTTCCCGAAGTTTTTGGGTATCCTCTACAGAGCCACATAGATTCCTTAAAGGATTATGTTTAAAGGAACCCTGTTCTAGTTATTGAGGCCCTTGTAGAAGACGAGGTCCTACGAGCCTTATGTTCGCTCCTACGTCGACCGGGGGTTCGTCTCCTACCATCCGCGCTTTCCGAAGGACTTTTGATGAACTCTCGTCGCTTCCGAAGGGAGTGAAGTATCAGCTGTGGGGCATGGGGCTTTGGGGTGTTAGGGTTTAGGAAGGTTCAGGTGAAGGGATTCAGGGCTTAGTGCAGTGCAGTCCTTGCTCAAAAAAGGAAGGTTCAGGTCTTGGGGTAAGAGGTTTGAGAGCGCGTGGCTGTCGTGTTTGAACCTCGGAGAGCCAACCATGCTCGCTTGAACCACCTTTTTTCCGAACCCAGAGACTTGTCGATGCCTCCTGAACACCGTAGCAGCCGCGTTCCAAGCCCCTTCTGAACCCCTCCTGATGCCCGACACGATTAAATTCCTTTATCGTCTTTTTGCCTTAATTATACATTCCGCCTACTCAACCCCTGTCCTCTCGCATGTGTCTATTCATTAAGCCCTATATCTCGAAACCCTTATTGGGGGGGGGGCTTGATAGAGCCCTTTCACAACCTTACAAGAAAGCCTAGTAAGGCCTATCAAAGCAAAGCCAAAAGCCCTGAACCCTAAACCCAATCCTAAACCCCAAACGCATTGAAACAAATACAGT